TGGAGGCAGCGTTCAGAAGCGGAAATCAAGTCTCCAGTCTGCTAACCCCTGGCTTAGCCCCTGGTCCCCTGGGTGTTTCCCTCTGGGGACTCAGTACCTTTAGCATGCTTGGCACGGGCCCTCTGCACCCACCCACTTGTGGATCGGAACATGCACTGCACCGTCAAGAAGTGGGGAGCACTTGCTCGGCTCCTCTTGGATGGTGCAGGAGTCCCATGTGGCTGAGGCCCCCCAGCCCTGTGCCTGAAGCATGATCTGTGGGCTGGTCTCCTTGTCCCCGGTTCCCACCCCTTGATAAGTAAGAGCTGACTTTTCCACGTGCTGTTTGTCTCTCCACAAATGTACCGCCAAGCTTATCTATACAGTGGGCTTCCTGCTGGTGTTGGATCTGTCCCACTCCCCACTGGGTCATAAATTGATGTCGCCCAAGCATGCAGATCTGCTGACGTCCGTGATGCGGGTGGCCTTGGCAGACCCCGGCTCCCCCCCCCCCCCCCCCCCCCAGTGGGTGGGAAAGGCAGACATAAACCCTGGCTGACATGAACTGCACATCCCAGTTACTGACAGAGAGCCAGAACTGGGTAGGCGGGGCGTGTGTNCCCCCCCCCCCGCCCCCCGAGTGGGTGGGAAAGGCAGACATAAACCCTGGCTGACATGAACTGCACATCCCAGTTACTGACAGAGAGCCAGAACTGGGTAGGCGGGGCGTGTGTGAGAAGTTCGTTCATCCATCAACTATTTATTGAGGCTGCCCGTGTGCCAAGCCGTGTACTGGGCTCTGAGAGTAACACAAGTGCAGGGGACACAGGGAGAGATTTTGAGGAGCACTCACGCTGGCCTGGGAAACAGATGCAGATCACTATAAGACACAGAGCCTTGTTCTGGGGTAACATTAAGGATGGACCCTGTGGATGGAATGTACAGTGTAATTTGGGGGTTCAAGGAAGGCCTCTGGGCTGAGTCCTGATGAAAAGTTTTCTTTCCTCGGCAACATGTCCTCAGCAGTGAGAGCCCAGATGGGTCTGGGAAATGTGGAGAGTCTGCCGGACTGAGTTCTCACAAGCCTTTGCATTGGGGTCTTTTTGCACCACACCCAACATGGAGAGCATCACCTGCAGGCATGCCGGGGAAGCCTCCTTCTCTCCTGTCCTCTGCCCGGGTCTGGGGCAGCTGCACTTTGCAGCCTCTGGTCAGAACTCTAAGTTCCCATGTTAATCATAACAAGCCTGTTCCGAGAGGAACCGACCGGGCCCCTGCCAACAGGCCTTCTCTCCTGTCTTGATAACATCTGCACCGAATTTTCTCCCTTTATATAATTAGGCCTGTTGGTATTTGCTTTGACTTTACATTACAGTATCACTGGCGTCTCTGAATTTTCAGGCCCAAAGTACATGCTGGGGACCCAGAGTGGTGAGAAAACTAAGCTTTTGCCAGCAGGATTTCAGGTTTAGCTGGGAGGGTGAGAAACTGTACACTGGCTACTGTTTGCATGAAAAATGCACAGCAGCGCCCCCACTGGTGGGAAAGGGATCTCCTGCCTTGCTCTGGGAGTGGTGCTGGGTCAGGCCTGGTGGATAGAAGGGTGCAGGAGAGCTCCCCTCCTCCTCCTCCTCCTGCCCATCTCCACCCCCCGCCCCCCACCTCCTCCTCCCCTCGCACAATCCCTGGCCCTGGAGCGACAGGACTCAGCAAACAGGAAAAGATGCACTAACGGCAAAGAAATGCAGTGAATCCAGGCTTAACCCCAAAGCCGACCTCAGCGTCTCAGGGTTCGGAATCTTACTTTGAAATGCCCGTCATGGTCTGGCCAAGTCAAGCCAGAGGAGCTGTTTGGGGTGTGAGATAAGGAGTGGGGCTGGTGCCTCTCCCCGGTCTGCTCTAACCAGAAAGGAAGCAAACGGATTTGCATACCCATTCCCCGACATCTCTGGAGTGAGTCGTATCTCAGTGGTGACTTCATTTCCCCTAATAGGGTTTCTACAGACTCTCTGGAAGGTTCCAGCTGGTGAGCCGCGCTGATTATGGTGTGGGAGTTTGTGATATGCTTGTTTGCACTTTCCCTTTGAGACCCCAGAGGCCCCAGATGAGTGATAACTGGATGATGGAATATTTGCTAGGGGAAGGGAAGTGCATTTTCCAAAGATAAGGTTTGATCCTGAGCAGAAGGAAAGTTTCCAGATGCCTCTGACATGTTGAGCAGTGAGGTGTGGGGACAGATCTCTTTCCCTGTTGCCTTGCTGGGTGTCTGCAATTATTTATCCCACCCACCCACCCCCCGCTCCAGGTGGACTCTTGAAGGTGTTTCAGGGGCTGCTGGGGGGCAGGGCAGGGTGCTACACAGGGGTCTCTGACTCTCTCAGCCAAAACACTGCCGTTTTCCTCTCTCTTTAGACAGTGCTGGCACTTCTCACATGATTTTGTTTAAATAGAAGGACTTTTGCCCAGTGTAAACAATGGGATCATTACATGTTGTCCCTTCTCTCCTAATAGGCTGTAGCTTCCTTGGGGAAGGACCCTGGTCCTGTTCAACACTGCGGCGTCCATTGAAACCTAGTGTGGGACTTGTGTAGAATCCTGTCCTGTCACCTCCGCTTACCACAGCCTGCAGGACCGAGGCCATACTCTTCACTTGGTGTTTCAGACCCTTAGCAGCTGGCTCCAGACTGACTCATCTCTCCTCTCGCCTTCCTTTCCCTTCCCTCAAAGTACCCTTCTCTACCCACCTTAAAGACCTTCTTTCTCTCTGAATGGATGGCTCCCTCTGCTGAAATGTTCTTTCTTTTTATTCCTGGTAGAAGGAGTACAGGAGTAGTAGTACAGCCTGATGGGCTCGGGAGTGAGACCACCTGGGTTTGCATCCCGACACTGTCCCTCTGGATCTGGGAAGCCATGGGCCAATTACCTAGCTGCATTGTACCTTGTTTTCCCAACTGTGAAATGAGGATGACAATAGTTTTTTCCTCTCCAGTTGGTTGTGAAGACGAAAACCTAAAACACACAAAGCACTTAAATGGAATGTTTGGCATGTAGTGAGTGTTCAACAGATGTAGGCTGGATGGTGGCGATGGTGGGGAGGAAGGTCACTGTTACAGAGCTGCTCCGTGTAGTCTTGTCCAGCTTCTCGGGCAGGGTTAGCCTTTCCTTTTCTGGGCCCCCAGTAGAACTCACTGCAGAGGGCTCTGGTTACTTATTCCGCAAGTCGGAGTTTGCCACTAGACTCCGAGTCCCTAGAAGACACGGACTGGGGGGCGCCTGGGTGGCTTAGTCGGCTAAGCGTCCGACTTTCGCTTAGGTCATGTTCTCGCGGTTCATGGGTTCGAGCCCTGCGTCGGGCTCTGTGCTGACTGCCAGCTCGGAGCCTGGAGCCTGTTTCAGAGGCTGTGACTCCCTCTCTCTCTGACCCTCCTCTGCTCACTCTGTGTCTCTCTCTCCTAGAAATAAATAAAACATTTAAAAAAAAAATAAACAAAAAAACGACGACACGGACTGGGCTCAGCGATGGGAATAACAGTCTCCACTAGTGTGTACCCAGCTCCATACCATGTGTTTTTTCTTCTCATGCAAGCATTTTATTAAGATATGACTCGCATACCGTATCATTCACCCTTTTAAAATATGTAATTCAATGGTTTTAATATAGTCACAGAGTTGTGCAAGCACCACAACTATCGAATTCTCAAATATCTTACCACCATGGAAAGAAACCGCATACCCCTTATGGGTCATTCCCCACCCTACCCCCATTCCCAGGCAGCCACTAATCCACTCTCTGTCTCCCTGGATTTGCCTACTCTGGACACTTTATATAAGTGGAATCATAGATATGTGTCCCTTTGTGTCTGATTTCTTTTGTTTAGCATGACATTTTCAAGGTTCCTCCACATATCAGTACTTTATTCCTTTTTATAGTTGAATAAGCCATTGTATCAATAGACCACATCAACTGATAGACATTTTGGTTGTTTCTCATTTTTGGCTCTAATAGATAATCCTGTCATGAATATTCGTAGACACATTTTTGTGTGGACATATGCTTTTACTTCTCTTGGGTATAAACATAGGAATAGAATTGCTGGTTCATATGGCAACTCTATGTTTAACTTTTTGAGGACCTGCCAGACTGTTCCAAAGCATCTGTACCATTTTACATGCCTGCCAGTAATGTATGTGGGTTTCAATTTCTCCGCCTCTTCACCAACACTTGTTTTTATCTGACTTTTTGATTATAGTCATCTTAGTGGGTATGAAGTGGCATCTCGTTGTGGCTTTGATTTGCATTTCCTTGATGGATAATGATGTTGAGCATCTTTTAATGTGCTTGTTGGCCATGTGTATATCCTCTTTGAAAAAGTTTCTATTCAGATTACCTCCTGTTCCTTCATTGGGTTATTTGTCTTTTTTTATTGTTGAGTTGTAAAATTCTGTATCTATTTTGGATATTAGGCCCTTACAAGATAGATGATTTGCAGATATTTGGGGGCCTGTCTTTTGATGCTTTTATGATGGCCTTTGAAGCACAAAAGCTTTTAGGAGTAAAGTCCGGTTTATTTTCTTCTTTTGTTGCTTATGCTTTTGGTATCACATCTAAGAAATCGTTGCCTAATCCAAGGTCACAGATGCACCAGAAGCTTTTTTGATGGAATCTTATTTTCAATAATTCTCCAAGGAAAGAGCAATAGACCCATTAACAGATGAGGAAGCTAAGGTATCAAATGCGAGAGGTGGGGTTTAAGCCCAGTTCAGTCTGACTCAGAACCTCAAGTGTGTCTGTGTCTCCCCCCCCCCCCCCCCAAGTCCTTATACTTCTGTGTCCTTCATAGGGTTTGGCACAGTGCCTGGTTAGGCCCATAGGTAATGTACCTTATGTGGATGAATGGCAGGTCCTAAGAGGTGTTTGGTTTGTACTTTCAGGTTGATTTGAGTGGATCAGTTAGCTCATGATTAGGAGTTTGGGTCCACAATGCTAGAGATCACTGAGTGTCTCTCTTTTACCTCTGCAGTGTCTCATCGTTGGGGGAGGACCATGTGGTTTGCGCACTGCCATTGAACTTGCCTACCTAGGGGCCAAAGTAGTTGTGGTGGAGAAGAGGGACACCTTCTCCAGGAACAATGTGTTGCACCTCTGGCCTTTCACCATCCATGACCTGCGGGGCCTGGGAGCCAAGAAATTCTACGGGAAGTTCTGCGCTGGCTCCATTGACCACATCAGTGAGTAGAGCCAATGGTGGCACCCCATTCTGGAGGGGGCTGACCCTGGGTGGGACACATTTCTCCACACTAAGGAGTCTCCAGGATGTTCCAGCTTACAAGTCCCTGGGGGATCCATGCATTCACCTGGCAGACATTTCATGAAGGGCCTGCTTTGTGCCTTGTGCTGGCTCAGTGCTGGGTATGCCCTACTGAATGGTAAGCATGTCTTGTTCACCAGAGTATCTCCAGGGTATAAAAGCATTCTTGACACATAGTAGATGTTCAGTAAGCTTCTGTTGAATGAATTAAATATAAGACACAGAAACAGAGGCAAGTGATACAGTCTGCACTCACAAAGAGCTCACCGATCTTGTCAACAATAAACTGCACTTTAATAGAGTAGTCAGACTTGCTGGAGGAGTTCAGAAGAGGGAAGGCGTGCAAAACTATTAAGTGGCCTCTTAGATGTTGTGTGGTGGTACTGGGGGAAGCCATGGCGGGATTTAGAACAGAGGAATGACACAATCGGCATATCCTGTACCAAGTGTCCTTGAGTTTTAAAAAGAGAGAGGGCATCCTGATTGGCATTCATCCAGACAAGGAGGGGAAGGCGAGAACATGGATTCCAGGCCCTGGACCAGCCCTGTACCCTTAGCACGCTCAGGTAGGGCAAGGTGAGTACTGAGGCCCTTCTGCTCCGCATTACTCAGGCCTGGGTCTCTCCAGGTAAGACGTGTGCAGACCAGCTGTAGGAGAACTTACAGCTATAGGAGATTTCCTTTCATGCTTAGCAGGGAGGAGGTCTTTAGCCATTGTGTGTATAAGACTGTGACCCGTAAAAGTCAGGGAGATTAGTATATGGGGAGAGTTCAAGGGTTTGAACAGATCTGGGTCCCAAATCGATCTTGCCCATTTGCTGCGTGACTTGGGTCAATTTCCTTAACCTTCTTCAAGCCCCAAGTTTTGTCTCCCACACATGTGATTAATGTCTGCTAACCAGGACAAGGATTAGGTGAGGTCAAGTTTGTGATGTGCTTCTCACTGTGCGTGGCAAGTAGTAGGCATGTAGGAAGTACTTGCATCCACTGGTGTAGCATGAGCAAGAGGCAGTCAGGGTCCCCGACTTCAGGGTTCAGTCTCTCAACCAGTGGGTGGGAGGAGAACCCCAAGAGCCATGTTCTTATGAGGACAGGAGGTAATGGGAAAGGGCGTGGGGCTCAGAGGAATGACTAGAGACGACGGTCAACCACGTAGGGTGTAATTTAGTCACAAATACAGGAGGACCGATGGGCAGTGGCCCCACACTTTATTCCCACTCTGGGATGAGAAAATTCCAGTTGTCTATTGGAAAGAAATTTGGATTTGCCCATAAGGCCGCAGTGTCAGCTTTCAGGGTATTCCCTACCACCCACAGAAGAATTTATGTTGGTTACTGACTTATGATGATGACATTGAGCACCACTTTCTCATCAAGCCCTCCTGAGAGGCAGAACTGGGCACCAGAGGTCCTCATGAGGGCCTCAGTCTGTTGGGCTGCCTTCCCTATGGACCAGGAGCCCCTCTCTGCCCCATTGGTGGGGCTCCCATTTAACCCCTCATTCTCAGAAAAGTCCCAGTATGCGAAAACACTGGCAGGACTCTGGATCCCATTTTCTGACATTCAGGGCGCTCATTGCCAAGAGCAGTTCAAGTGCCCATGAGAAGGGAGGCTGGGAGAATTTATTGAATGCCTACTGTGTGCTGGAACAGGATGGATTAGGAAACTTGAAATGATAAGAAGAGACCAGGCCTGTTTCCAGGCAGGAGGGGGGTTGGGTTCTTTGAGCCCCAGCTGATTGGCTTCCTTCCAGACCGACCGTGGCCTCCAGCCCCAGTGACGCCCCAGCCCTCAACACTGCTCAGCAATTCTCCACGGTCCTGTGTCAGCATCCTCCTCCAGTCCCCAGGCTGCTGCTCCAAACCTCCACCACAGCCGCCTCCTTCGAGCAGATGGCCTTCCTCCTGTGCTCTGGGGGAGAGAAGCCACTGGCGGCACTCCTAAGTCCCAGCCCCCTCTTTCCTCCTGCACTCGCCTCCACCCCAGTACCCATTCCTTCCTCTTGCCCCATGTGGGAGGCAGACCTAGCTGCTCAGCTCCCCTCTCTCCCTCATGGTTTCCTGCCCCCCCCAACCCTCTGTTATTTCCTTTACCTTTTTCTATTTCAAGAAAGGGAGGATATAGACTTTGTCTATGCGTCTATTCATGCCTCCTTCCTTAGTGATCTGACTTTTCCCCCACCATGCTGCCAAAGAGATTTCCACAGAGATTTCCACCCCCAGGAAGACTCCTAACTCCCAAGGGCCTCTTTGTAATCCTTAATCTGTCTGTGGGGATCTGGTATTCTCCCGGCTTCCGGGAATGCAGCTCAGACCCTGTTCTGCCGCTCCCCTGCCCCCAACCACCATGGTCTGAGCCAGTCTGTTTACATGTGTTTCCTCCTCTAGAGCGAGTTCCATATCTCTTGTGCCTACCATGGCACCTGGCCCATTGTGGATGCTCAGTAAGTGTTCAATGAACAAAGCCCAATAAATACAGAGAAACCCACAGAAAGTTTCTTGCTCTACAGAAAAATATTTAGAGGCATACTCGCGTGTGCTGAATGGCAGTACCAAGGTAGAGAAAGGAGGTGACCCTTATTGGGAGAGTTTAGAAAGGTGGGTAGGAGGTGAAATAAGCCCAGTTCTAAAGGGAGAATTCCCCACCCAACCCTGACCCTGGATGGCTAAGAGCTTAGACCTAGTGCCCCACGAAATGAGCCATTTTATCACGGACTTAACTTGTGGCCATTCACTCTCTCTGTCTACTCCTCTTCCCATCTTTACTTTGTCAAACTCATACCCCATCTCAGGAAAGAGGCAGGAAAGAAAGAGCCTCCATTATAATGGCATTATCTAAAAACTAGAGCACAGCATAGGAATTGGGTCTGGGTCCACATTCTAGTTTTGCTGCTATGTCACATTGAGCAAGTCACTTCACCTCACTGACCCTCACTTTCTTATCTATTAAATGGGAAATTATCCTAAAGGGTCACAATAAGAAAACACCAAGTGGTTGGCGCATAATTAGTTCTTGGTAGTGATCATGGTTGGGTTGGTACATGGCTATGCTCAGAGATCACTGAGCAATGATTATATAGTACCCTGTAGGCAGGAGATACTCAAGCATTACTACTGACACTTCTCTTTCCCTCTTCCTTTCTAATAGGTATTCGTCAGTTACAGCTAATCCTATTCAAGGTGGCCCTGATGCTGGGCGTTGAAATCCATGTGAATGTGGAGTTTGTTAAGGTTCTAGAGCCTCCTGAAGATCAAGAAAATCAAAGTACAGTATACTTTTCCTTTCATATCTAGAAATCCGATATTGCAAAATGGAAATCGCATTTGTAGCTCTCAGAGGATGTTTCTATAAGAGTTATTCTTGTTGGGTGCTGTTTGGTATAATTCCATCAAGGATATTTTACCTTTGTGGACCAGTGCTACCTACCACCCCGGGGAATTGTTTTGCTCTTCTCCCCACCCCGGGGAATTGATTAAGTCATTAAACCTGTAATTTGGTTACCCTGCCACTAGGAAGCAGTACTTTGACAAATGAAGTAATAAGTAATGAGGTTAGAAGACCTAGATTCGATTGTTTGGTAAAGTTCATTCCTATGTTCTTCAAGCTGTGTGGGAATACACACAGTTATGTGGATATTTTGTACCCATATGATATTTTAAAATCCAGTTAAAAATAATGTGAAGCTTCTAGAGAAAATATGAAGTAAGTGCTCATGATATAATTTTGCATGTCATATTTTTAAGCCTTACTAAATAAAAGTATAACTTACAAACCACAAAATTTGCCCACTGTGGGTGTCTGATTATATAGTAATGTTTCCCTTTCTCCTTTTAATATGTTTATGTAAATGCTGATATCTTACACAAACCATGGACAGAGTTTGTTCCTAATGCCTCTGCATCTTACTTAATATTAGAGTCTTCTGCTGAGGCAGGACCTTCAGTTTGGGCAGCTTCATGTCAGAGACCTCAGAGCTCCATGTGCTTGTTCAATTCTGACTTCCCCTGTCCTGGACCCAGGATATTTGAGAATTTAGAAGAAGTGTTTAGGTGGCTTTTGTAGCCTCCCGATGACCTAAGTACGGCGTTTGCTATTTAACTTTCAGAGACTTGTGTGCCTTAACCTTTATCAAACCTCTGGTGCACGTTAAATCCCAATTATGGGTGACCAGCAAGATTTTACCTGAAAATGTTCTCATGGAAAGCTGTGTTCTGCCCAACACAGCATTCTGACCATAATGAAGTGCAAATTCAAACTGCTTTCTACTTCCTGCACATCCTTTGGGTCTGGTTAGCAGTGGGAGGGCAAGGAGGAATATAAAGGAAGATGAAGAGACTATGAAGAATACACTGAGAAAAATAAGGTTGAATTGAGACTAATTTCAGAATCATTGAGGATAGACTCCCAACCTGTATAGAAACCAGTTACATCAGGCATAGGGTTGGTGCCGCTGGTTTACCTTGTCCCAGATTGAGCTGATATTAAAGCCAGAAGGAGTCCAGATGAGAGTATGAGTTGGGATGACTGTGGGTTTTTCCTCTGGCAGCTCATGGGGTGCCTACACCTAGTGGTATTATCCATTTTTCCTGGCCAACACGGAGGGGCCTCCCACCTTCCTCTGCCAACTCAAGTCATTTTTCTGTCCTGGCAGAAATCGGCTGGCGGGCAGAATTTCTCCCTGCAGACCACCCTCTGTCGGACTTTGAGTTTGATGTCATCATTGGCGCCGATGGCCGCAGGAACACACTGGAAGGTGAAGACTGTTCTTGGAGCTGAGGAAGGGGGTATGGGAATGGGGGGAGGGGGCAGTGCAGAAAAGCAACATGGCAGGTGTGAAAGCTGGATGGGGCCTTCACAGAAGGGCAGACTGTCCTGCTGTGCCTGAGGCTGAGCATTTAGAAGACTATCATTTAATTGTCTCTGAACCTCAGTTTCCCCACCATAAAATGTAGATAATAGAATCTTCCCAGAGCATTGTTTTGAGGGCTAGGAAAGGACTCCTATGTAAAAATATTTTATAGAGATAAAGTGCCATAGAAGTTAAAAGTCAACATCCATTTACTGAGCACGTGTCAATGTGTAATCCATGGTATTAAGAACTCTCATACTTCCCTCATCTACGACAACCATTCTTAAACTATTAGTGGCATTCTTCCACTGTCACATGTAATGCTCCAGAAGAAGGAGCCCGTCTCTTTTTGTAACTTTTCAGCCCACTCCCTGCTGGGCAGTAAGATCTGTTTCTCCCAGACTGTCAAGGCGCAAAAGCATGCTTCTCTGAGTTCTGAAGTTGGCAACATCACATGTTTCCTTGGAGTAAGAGCTAGTCAGGTTGGGAGAGGAGCACCACTGCCAGAAATGCCTTCAGTCACCTCCCCCTCCCCCAGAGAGTAATCAGTGTGTAGGTTGTACAAATTTGCACTAACTGTATCAGTGTGAGACTACAGATGGTGGACAAAATGGTCCCACATGGCATCTCTTAGACTGGGGACTGGATCTGCTCTTCAAGCTTGCCCTGCTCAAGGGCTACAGGCTGCAGAGGTCTGACCGAGAGGGCATCTCCTCTGAGGACTGAAGGCACTCCCTGAATGAGGGTCGATGTTGGAGGCTTTGGACACGTGGTCTGCTTAGCTGGGCCCTACCCACCTGCGGGGCCACCAGGGGCCTTTCCCCACTCCTACGCCTCCCTTTTCTCCTCCATCCCTACATGTGCCCCATCCGTGCAGTCAATAACCAATATCTGACCAAGATTTTTTAAGCTGCTAACCTGTGCTGTTAGAATCTATAGGGCTATTTAGATGGTTTGATAAAACTGTAAGTCTGAATAATTGCAAATCCAAAACCCGCACCTTGCCTGAGTATAGTTTGGCATTTCATGGACAGGAAGAGAAAGGTGAGGAGGAGGAGAGCCATTTAGGCAGCCTAGCACTGAATAGGTAGACTACTGCAGGGTTTTTCCATATTGGCACTCTTGGCATGTGGGGCCAGATCATTTTTTGTCCTGTGCACAGTAGGATGCTTAGCCTCTCCCTGCTAGACACCAGTAGCACCTCCGAGCTGTAGCAACCAGGAATGTCTCCACACATTGCTTAACTGGGGGCCAAGGTCACTCCTAGTTAAGAAATATTAGACTAGACAATAATGGCCATTTCTGGCCATTTTGATAAAAGTCTAATGAAGAATGACTTAAAAGAGGAGGCACTGAGATAAAAACCCAAGGTTTCCAGTTAAAGGAAACTCTTTCCTTGACAAAGAAGTCTGAGAATCAGCACGAAGTTTGAGTATATGGTGAGCAAACGTGGGGGGAGTTCTCAGAGGAGACTGAAGACAAAGTCATGTCCAGGGAGCCTTGTCTATGTGATGAGTGCCTTGAGTTAAACAAAGTAAACAACAGTGTCTGGGGCGGAGGGAAAATTGGGGATTGTGGGAGAGCCAGATGCTAGAAAGAAAGGGGTGTGGCAGAAGAATGAAGTCTGACCACCTGCTTGGGGTCCTCTAAGTCACCGCCATTAAAAAGCAATTTAATGTAAACCATTGACACTTATAAGCGCCCCAAGGAATCACTGTACTAAATCAATTGCAAGTTAAGATTTTCTACATATTCTGTATTATTGAGTGTGGACTAAGTGCCAGTCACTGGAGACCGGAAATAGAAAATTTGTTAAAATCCCCATCCCACAGGGGCACCTGGGATGCCCAGGTCAGTTAAGCCTCTGACTTTGACGCAGGCCATGATCTCACAGTTCGTGGGTTCAGGCCCCGCATCAGGCTCTGTGGTGACAGCTAGGAGCCTGGAGCCTGCTTTAGATTCTGTCTGTCTGTCTGTCTGTCTGTCTGTCTCTCTCTCTCTCTCTCTCCCCCTTTCTCTCCCTCCCTCCCCTGCTCACTCACAGTCCGTCTCAAAAATAAATAACATTAAAAAAATTTTTTTAAAAAGTTTCAAATCCCCATCCCACAGGAATTCAGTCTCATAATCCTACTTTTCAAAGGGGGAAAACATGAAGAATGCTAACAATGTAGTTTTAATCGTAGAAGTTCAAAGTGCATGTGTCATGAGTGTACCTAGCAACAGTGCCTGACAAATCTTTCAAAGGATGTGCTCTCCAACTGACTATGGGAAGGTCACTTTAGCCTTTTGTTTGTAGAAGCCTAACCAGAATAATTGGTCCTGTAGATTTCAGGAAAGGAAAGAATCCCACTGAGTTAGGCCTCTGGTGATGTGTTTCTTCCTTGGGTACAGACCTTGGCATTTCCGCTGCTCCTATTCTCTAGAGATGCAAAATTCTGGTTTCAGAGGCCCATGAGGCAGCCGAGAATAGCTTCCTCAGTAATCTTTTTCAGTTTTCACACCAAATCCAGAAGAAAGACTCCCTTTTTCTCTTCTCCCCATGCAGGGTTCCGAAGAAAAGAATTCCGTGGGAAGTTGGCTATTGCGATCACCGCCAACTTCATAAACAGAAACAGCACAGCCGAGGCCAAGGTGGAAGAGATTAGCGGTGTGGCTTTCATCTTCAACCAGAAGTTTTTTCAGGACCTTAAAGAAGAAACAGGTGGGACCTTCACCTTTCTCCAAACCAGGCCATCATCCACGCTGGGCTTCCCAGGTTTGGGGATTGGGAGACTCACTCTGATCAAGTGGAAGCACAGACTTCTTAGGATAGAAATTGGCAGGATTCCTTCAGGGACCAGAGCAATTCTTGAGAGAAAGTTCTGGATATTGTACATGAAAATGGATAAAGATGGATTTACTCAGTGCCCATTATGTGCTGCTCTTCAGTATCATGAGATACAGAGTTGAGGTTGACGTGGTCTCCTCCCCAAGTGGCTCATTGTCCAGTGAGGGACAACCATCCTAACACAGGGGGGCTGGCCTATGAAGTGCAGGTCCTTTTGTGCAGTGTGCCAGCTGCCTTTCCCCATAAGGGACGTCCAGGGATGCCCAGGGAACATGTACTCACCCGAGGGCATTAGTTGTTCCCCAGCCGTGGGCCTTGGGGAAAGAAGATACCCATTCATTTACTCCACAAATATTTATTGACTGCCTTCTGAGTGCCAGATGTTGCTCAAGGGCCTGAGAAGGAGCGGTGGGCAAAACAAGTCCCCTGTCTTGGAGCTTATAGTCTGCTGGGAGAGACTGTCAAGAAACAACGAGCATGCAAGGTGGTCAGAAAGATGGTGGAGGGAAATACAGCACAGGGAAGGGGAAGAGGGATGAAACCTGCTGCTGATGACGTAAATCCCCGATTTTTCTTTTAGCCTGATTTTAAAATCTGTATTTCTCCTCAAAAGGCAGTGTAACAGCAATGCTGAATAAAATTTTCACACCAGAAATAAATCATCCACACCCAGCATCACCTAGTACAGAAACCGTTCTCATGTTCATATACTTCTTTTCAGTAATTGTCCACCCGCACCTTTTGCAGGACTCTAGCTCTTATCAGTGTCAATGCCCCTTGTGATTCGGATTTTATCCTCCAGCATCCCATTTTAAATATTGTCCACATTGCAGCCAGGTCTTCCTCATGGTCAATTTTGCAGGCTGCAGAATAGCTCATTAAGTAGATGCACCATCACCGCCTAAGCATTTACATTGGAGGCCGGCAAACTATGGTTGGCTACATGTGTTTGTATCGCCTTCCAGCTAAGAATGGTTTTAATATTTTTGAATGGCTGAAAAAGCAAAAGAAGAATATTTTGCAACAAATTGAAAGTTACATGAAATTCCAGTTTCAGTGCCCATAAATCCAAGTGTATTGGGACACAGTCATGCCCATTTGTTGACGTTGCTGCCTGTGGCTGTGAAGGGTTTGTGGATCCCAATGGCCTGCAAATCCGAAATATTTACCATCTGCCCTTTACAGAAAAAAGTATGCTGGCCTTTCGGTTATGTACTGTTACAGGTAAAACTGCTCCCTGGGAATATTTCAAGTTAGTTTTCTAGGAATGGGATTCCTTATTGAGCTAGACTGTGCTGCTCACTGGCCACTATGATGTGTGCCCGTTGGGCGATTCTCTTGAGTTTTGCCACAGTAGCATGATTTTATTAGAGTGGGTTTTTTGTTTTGGTTCGTTGTTTTTTTTTTTTTTTTTTTTTAGGATTTTATGTTTTATTTCTTTTTTTTTCTAAATATACTTCATTGTCAAGTTCGCTAACATACAGTGTATACAGTGTACTCAACTTCAGGAGTAGATTCCCATGATTCACCACTTACATACAATACCCAGTGCTCATCCCAGTAAGTGCCTTCCTCAGTGCCCATCACCCATTTTCCCCATTCCTCTCCCCCCGCACCAACCCTCACTTTGTTCTCTGTAGAGTGTTTTTATTCAGCATATTATGTTCTGAATGATTTAAGAATTGTCCAATCCTCCCTTCCTCTCAAAAACCAAGAAGATAAATACTTCAATAAACCACCAAATATGAATTATGACAGGACACTGAGGGTGTGTTTCCACATGTCTCGTGCGTTTCCTTTATGTGTCGCTGTGACGGTCATCTTTGGCCATTGTTCCACAGTGACCCTTACATAATGACAATGCTGAATTTCCTCTGATTCTCAGGGGAGCCCTCTGCATTGATGGCTGTTTCCTATTTAACGGTAATAAACGGGTTCCCCTGGTTGCCCAGCATACCTCTGTGCCGACTGCTGATAAGTTGTGATGGGTCTGTTTCTTTCTCTCCGAAGAAGCTAAGCCAGTGCTTCTCAAATTTGCCAGTGCATCCGAATCACCTGTCGGGCTTGTCAAAGTGCAGATTGCTGGCCCTACCGGCAGAGTTTCTGACTTAGTGGGTCCAACGTGGGGCTCTGATCATGCGCATTTCTAAGTTCTCCGGTGACACCGATGCCTGCTTGGGCCAGGGGCTACAGCTCTGTTTTAAACTCAGAAACCTAGTCTATCGAGTGTTTTTGCAATGGCTGGAAAGTGCAAAGTGCAAAACCCAGCCCTCCAACCTGACTCGTTCCTTCCAGGGCACCTGGATTTTCCCTGCACACACAGGAATGGGAGAAACACGGCCTGAGCACCGTCTTGGGAGAATTGACACCGCTCTTTGACTCTCCAGCCACATGGAGGGCCTGGTGGGTGGGACTGGGAATCAGACCGTCCGGAGTTCAAATCCTGGCGCTGGTGTTAGCTGCTATGCTGTGGACAGCCCTTGGCCTTTCTGCCGTGTTTAGTTCTAACTCGGAAGTGCTGGTCCACAGCCCCTAAGGACTTGGAGGGTTTTTTTTTTTTTTAAAGCGCTTTAGTCATATTGCAATATATAAATATACCAAATCAACATATTATACACCTTAAATGCACACCGTATTCTACATCAATTATATCTCAATTTAAAAAACACACAGTGTCTTAGTGGAACTATAAAAGCTAGCCGGGTGGGCTTGGGTAAATTCTAGCACTCAGTTTTCTCTTTCCCAACCTTGGATGTTTTAAAACCTTGTCCAGCTTGACTCTATGCGGGTAAACAATGGCACCCGTAATGCAGCAAAGTAGAGCTCTTGGCATGGAATGGGCACGGAGGGGAAAAACACTGAGTCCGCTTCTGCTTCTCTCTGCAGGGATTGATCTGGAGAACATTGTTTACTACAAGGACTGCACCCACTATTTTGTCATGACGGCCAAGAAGCAGAGCCTGCTTGACAAGGGTGTCATCATTCATGTACGTATCGCCTGGCCGCTGCGTCCTAACTGTCATTCTCTCTGGGACCCAGCAAGTGTGGGAGCAAGCTGCTATCCTGCCCCCAGTGGAGGGAAGGTGGGAGGCAAGAACGACCATCACCCACCATTTTCCTTCTGCTTGGTGGTGTGTGAGCATTGAGTGAAGGAGCCAATACAGGCAGAGGTGTTTCTGCAGAGCGCTGGGGGTGGGGGGCAAGGGGCGGGGCTGGGGGGCGACACCCTCACCCAGTTGTTCGTGTGAGCCTTTACCGCCAAGACATGGACCGAGTCTTTTTTTTTTTTAATGTTTTATTTATTTCTAGGAGAGAGAGAGAGAGAGAGAGACAGCGTGAGCAGGGGAGGGTCAGAGAGAGAGGGGTTCACAGCCTCTGAAACAGGCTCCAGGCTCTGAGCTGGCAGTCAGCACAGAGCCCGACGCAGGGCTCGAACCCACGAACCACGCGATCATGACCTAAGCGAAAGTCAGACGCTTAACCGACTAAGCCACCCGGGTGCCCCGAGATGGACCAAGTCTTTGCCTTCCCCCTGTCTCATTCAAGCCTGCTCCCTTTTCTGGGAGGTCCCACGCCATTCGGAGACCCCCGAGTGGGACACCGAGACCAATTCACTTGTGAATCTCACACGTGGCCCCCTTGTCATCGTGTCGGAGAGGGGAGCCCTCTCTTACAGTCACAAAGGCTCCACGTGAATCTTGGCTCTGCCACGGATTAACTCAGGCCTGTGACTAAAAGCTGCTTAACTTTTCTGGATTTGGGTCTTCGTATCTGTAGAACAGGAATAACGGATTTTGTCTGAATGGGGGTACAGAGCAATGGGCCCCGTGCCTGGAACAGATTGGGGGTTTGGAGATACCTGTGTGATTTCTGTCTGGTTCGAACACCTGCTTTTTGGTCCTGCTGACTTCCTAGCCTCTGCTTCCGGCCTGTGCATCTTCATGCTTAAGCCGAGTACAAGACTGCAAGAAAGGAGCGCACGGGGTGGTGGGCCCCGGGCTGGAAGCTGTTCTGGGCAGGTTTCCACCCATCCAGAGCCTCTGTTTTTGCCCCTGTTGTCGCCTTGAGATAAGGATCGCGGTCAGCCTGCTGTCCGGGTGTCGGCCCACAGCCTAGGCGGCGTGGTGACTGGTCTCTTGCTTGTCGGTGAAGAATGTGCCTGTCCTCTGACCACTTTGTGCTGACAGCCAGCCCGGTGGCATTAGTAACCCGGCCCTCCCCTGGGCCTCCTCCACGCGGCTCAGGTCCCTGCTGAGAGCCTGACTGCAGACAGGAGGCTGTGAATGACGGGGTGCGGACGTTGAAAGAAGCCCACTGAACACAGCCAGCGGATGTGTGAGCCGTGGGCATTGGCATCTGGTGTCCCAGGGCTGACCCGATCTAGGGGAGGAGGGGCGGTGTCCCTTTCTGTCCTGCGTTCCACGGGCGTCCCTCCCGAAGTTGCCTCCTCCGTTGAGAGGCCAGTGGCAGATAGCGAAGGACTATTTGGGGTCCAGAGCTGCAGGAACAGCAGACCGCTTTGCAAAGGAGGGGCTGAGGAGGCTTTTGTCAGCACTCCCCCCCCACCCCCCGCCATGGGAAGTCAGGCAGAATTTGACGTGGGTTTCCTATTTCACTGGCTGAGTCCTCCAGCCCGTGGGACACTGTGGCTCATTCGCTCAGGGCCTCCCGGGGCATTGGCCCAGGCCATGACATGTTGCTCATGGTGATTCAACCCTTTGGCAGTTGTCCGAGCCCCTCCATACTCCAGTGCCTCTGTCCTCACACAGGTGGACGAGTGTGACTCACCCCATCAGGACTGGGGAAGATCTGGGTGCAGATCTCACCAAGCGTGTCCTCACCAAGGCTTTTCTTCCCCCTCAGAGAGCCCGGGGGCATCTCCTGAGCCGGTGCTGAGGGGCCTCTAGGTCTAAGGCAGGAACTCTCATCTAGAAGTTCCAGCCCACAGGCTGGACACGAGAGGGCTGGATGCCCAGCTCTGGCCTGGAGTCTCCGTGTGTCCTGCCAAGCGCTTGTAGCATCTGCATAGCTGGGAGCTGGTCCATCTACCCTGAGCCACTTCCATTAACATTGCCGTCATGCTCCCAGGGGAGTGGCAAGTCCTCTCTCGTTTCCTCTCGCCGCATCTTCCTGGAGGCCAGCGGAGGTGCCACGTGAATGTGTGTTGAATGACCGGCCGTCCTGCTTCCCCATCTATTCCCACTGACCTCTGGGCTTCCTTCCATGGCTACCGAAGGGAGAGTGAAGTTTCTCCTCAGGAAACGACGCCTTTGGGCTCCCAGCTCTGTCCATCTTGCTCTCCCTCACAAGGAGGGTGGCCCATCATCCTGGGCCTTCCCTGTGTTGGCCCACGGCCACGTAGGCGAGGGCTCCTGGATGCAGCGGGCTCTGGCTGGCCGTGGGGCGAGCGAGCATCACAGCTGGTCTCCCAGGGCGGAGCCCAGCCTCATTCAAAGCCGTTGCCTGACCTTCTCTTCTGGTCTCCAGCCTTCTTTCCAGCTCTTTCCAGCTCAGCACGGGGGTGGGGAGGTTGAGGTGACCATTCTTCCCGTCCGATCCCCTGCCTTGTAGTCTTTTTGCCGCCCCACTCTCCCCTGCCCCTCCTCTCTGCCTAGGACGCAGCGTCTCTCCAGTACCTGTGCCTGTGGAATACGGGGCCCACCCTCATCCTCCTGCATCCGTCTCAATTTCAAACTACTTCTCCAGGCCCGCCTTTCTTTCCCTTGTCCTGTTCCCACCCCTCCCTGTGTTCCCGCCGCCGCATCCATCCCCTCACCTGGGACCCCCGGCCATACCACCTGGGACCACCTGGCTCCTCCCAGCAGCCCTGGGCCTGGTGGGCTATTACTCCAGCCCAGCCTGGGGGTCTGCTCCCTCTGCAGGTCCCCACACTCCTGTTGGGGACACCAGCACCGGGCGTGACCACGCTCACCCGTCACCCAGCCCGCCTCAGGGGTGCTTGTGGCATGCTTTCAAGAGGGAGTATTTTCAAGACCTCTCCATTTGCCCTTCCCCATCTTGTCTCCACCCTTCTAAGGGGGGACTAGGTCATGTGACTGGAGGAGCAGGTATGAGAAAGGAAAGGCGGGTATCGGGCTCCAGCCTGAACGCCGGGACCTGGCAAAGTCCTCTTGGGCCAATGCTGGGTGCAAACCGGGTGATGCAGTATGGTGTGAACATGTGAGAATTTCAGGAATGAAGTATTTGAAATCATGGCCATTAGGAAAATGGACACAGTAGGTCACTCAGTTTGTAGATGGGGCTGTGCCTTCTAAGACCTTTGTAAACGCTCTCACTGGTGCCTCGGGGGCCCGGGGGGTGGGGGGTGGGGGTGGGGGCACATCCAGGAATCCACTTCACCGCATGCTGTGTTTGTGCCAGTGTGAATTATAGGGGGACAGAAATTCCCACTCACTTGGCTCTTCCCACAGGCCAGGCATCAGGCTGGGGAGTTTTATGTGTGCAATTTCCTTCGGTCCTCACTGTATGAAGTGGATTTTGTCATTCCCATTTTACAAATAAGAAAATGGAAACACCGAAGACTTGGATAACTTGCCCAAAGTTACTGGCTGAGCAGCAGGGCTGGAATGTGACCTGATGCTCTCGATAGCCCCACCAGTTCCCGCCACGCCCCACCCCTCCTTGGATCTGCACTTTCTCTGCCACCTTTTGGGGAAGACAGTCTTCTCCTTCCTTCACCTCATGCAGAGCAGATTAGACCCTGGGAGACATGCCACGGGTCGCTGCCAGAGTCCCTCCTGGATGGGTGTCCTGGTGCTGGGAGCCAGGGTCCTCCTCTGTCAGCAGGGCCATAGCACTTAGCACTGTGAGAGCAGAGCAGGGCCCTGAACAACCCTCAGCCTGGCCAGAGAAGAGATAACTGATTCTGCAGAGAAAGTTCTAGAGCTATGCCAACTACCCACTTCTTTTCTGGTCTTGTTTGGCCACTAAACACAGTATTTCTGGATCATATTAGCTCAGCTTAGTCGGCTATAAAATCACTATTACTTACTTGCTCTTTTGTCTTTTAATTTTGCTGAAAGTTATCTCAAGAACCGGCTGTATGAAATTTACTTCCATGTTTACCACAAGACCATTGTTGAGTAAACTGTTCATTGCATCACTGTGTCCTTTATCACAATTCCTATGCGAGACAGTTCTCTTAGAATCTAGTGCCGGAAAAAATTGACTCCCCTAGGAATTTCTATGCTTTTTTTTTCTTTCTGATAAGGAAAGCCTTGCCGTATATCACATTCCCTTTTGCCTTGGATGCCAGGAAGCTCAAAGCCAAGTGTGATGCTTAATCACAGCTCTGTACAGATGGCTGATTTGGTTCCCCTTGACTCCTTTGGCCCTGATTTTGTTTTGATCAGCCTCACTGTCTAAACCCATTCCAAGTCCTTTTGCAAAGATACGGGTGGGAACACTTGACCTCTACAGGGGAAGATTGCTACACTGTGCGTGCTCTTGTTCTCTCCCAACCAGGACTACATCGACACAGAGATGCTGCTGTGTGCAGAGAATGTGAACCAGGACAACCTGCTTTCCTACGCCCGTGAGGCTGCAGATTTCGCCACCAATTACCAGCTGCCATCGTTAGACTATGCTATGAACCATTATGGGCAGCCCGACGTGGCCATGTTTGACTTCACCTCCATGTACGCCTCCGAGAATGCGGCTTTGGTGCGCGAGCGCCAGTCACACCAGCTACTCGTGGCCCTGGTGGGCGACAGCCTGCTTGAGGTAGCACCCCCCATTCCTGGTAGAAGACAGATCCCTGTGTTTATGGTGTGGCCAGCGACCTCTGCTGTCGTGAGCCAGGGGACGGTCAGGCGCCTTACTAGCAGGCCAGACTCTACCAGGCCCAGGCTGGCCTCCAGCTTGCACCTGCCCTTGGACTAAATCCAGAGGAGCTCATTCTACCTTCTCCCATCTCTGGCCTCTTCAGGCCGACCTCTTTGTCCAAGTACAAAATCAGTCAGCCCTACTCTGGACTTCATGGGCGGGCCTCCTCAGAGCATGTACGCCCTCGGCTGGACCATAACTTCTTTCTCGCGTGGGGAGCTCTCTCTGGGGCCACAAGGTTGGGGGTCCCAAAGTCCATTTCTCTCCATGGCCTCCCTGCTCAAAATGCTTCCCAGGGAAGGACAAACACAAGGATCCTTAGATTCAATGTTTTCAGAATGGTTACATTTTTAGCTTTAAACTCAGCACTAACCAAAAAAATGTTTATCCCAAGTAAGAGTCAGATTCCAGACCATGCTTTGGGTGCCCATGGGACAGTTCAGTTAGAACTTAGCTTGGTAAGGGGCGTCTGGGTGGCTCAGTTGGTTAAGCGTCCGACTTCGGTGCCTCAGGTCATGATCTTAGGGTTCGTGGGTTCGAGCCCCGCGTCAGGCTCTGTGCTGACAGCTCAGAGCCTGGAGCCTGCTTTAGATTCTGTGTCTCCTCTGCCCCTCCTCCCCTCTTGCTCTGTCTCTCTCCGTCTCAAAAATAAACAAACATTAAAAAATTTAAAAAACCCAACAACTTAGTTTGGTGAACCAGCCCTTGGTCCCCGTGGTGTGTGGGCTGTGATCTGCCACTCGCCCCCGCCCCTTCTCAGAGTTCTCTCTGCTGCCCTCCTCTGCTCTTCCACCAGGCACCGTCATTTTCCAGCCACCACCCCTTTGCCCATGCTGTTCCTGCATGGATCAAGATGGGAATCCTACCCAACCTTTAAAATCCACACAAATGCAATTCTTCTGTGAAGCATTCCCTGATTTCCATCACCCTCCCCAGGGTAGGGATTGGCCTGTGCCTTTTTAAAGCCCCAAAGCAGTTTTGGTATTCCTGTGATACAGCACCCTTTCCACGGGACTTTGTGCTATAGCTAATCGTGTTGGTGGTGAATCCTAGGGGCCTGCCCTGTCACCCCTCCCCGCGCAGGCCTCACAAGGGCCTGGCAAGCCCGAGTGCTGGATAGAATGGGAGAGCAGAGTGGGGGGTCATGGGAATTAACGGGAATGTTCTATGCTTTCTTCTCCAGCCATTTTGGCCCATGGGCACAGGCTGTGCCCGAGGCTTCCTGGCCGCCTTTGACACGGCGTGGATGGTGAAAAGCTGGGACCAGGGTACCCATCCCCTGGAGCTGCTGGCCGAAAGGTGAGTACCGACAGCAGCATTTCGGGCTGGGGGCAGGGCTGGTTCCAAAACCAGACAGGAAAGGGAGTGAGTCCGGCCATGAACCTGGGGCCTCTGTCCCCTTTCATTTGCTTTCCCGCATGTGGCCTGATTTGATCATCACCGTGCCCGGGGAAACATTCTCTGGCATGCTCTGCACCCTTCTGTGACTTCTCTGGGGGCCACGACCTTAACGACCTGAATGCAACAGGGAAGTCCTGATCTGGAACGGCCCTGAAGATGGGGTTCCCAGCACTGCCCAGTCACTGCAGAGCCAGAAGAGGTTTAAGCAGAAGCCTCCCCTGCAGCGCTGAGAGTGCTCCCGTGGGGGCTGGATTTCTGACCTCCCCGGCCTCTTCTGCCGCTGAGATCCTCTGGGGTTCTGCCCAGACCCCTGCTGCTGGCCACGTGGCCGTGACAGCTGGAGGGCCGGGAGGAGTCAGGGCTGGCTGGTGGGCCGGGCCTCCACTGGTCTTGGGTGTGGAGGCCTGTGGTCACAAGGGGCAGCCGTAGGTTGCGGCGCGGCTGAGTGGCGGTTATAGCAAAACCACAGGTCCCTCTCTGCCGGCTTTGTGTCCCTGCCCTCTGCTCAGGGGAAGGAGGCCTGCGTCACTGCCTCTGGACCCCCTCCCACCCCATCTCTAGCCCTTTGACTCTCCCCCACTTTGCGGACCCACGAGGAGCCAGGAGGGCCAGGCATTGCAGGGAAGGGGTATACAGACACATCCAAGGAGCCCTTCAGAGCGGGGCTGGGGGGCGCAGACAAGGCTGTCATAGCAACCCCTGACCCCTGGGCTCTGCCTCATCCTAGAGAAAGTCTTTACCGGCTCTTACCTCAGACTACCCCAGAGAACATCAACAAGAACTTTGAGCAGTACACGTTGGACCCGGGGACACGGTACCCAAATCTCAACTCTAACTGTGTCAGGCCCCATCAGGTAAGTCCTTCCCTGGGCCCCCTCTGAGCCACCCGTCACCGAGCAGCGGGGGGGGCGGGGGGGGGGGAAGGGGGACGGTCATTTGAAACCTCGCCACGTTCTGGATGAATCGCTGGCATTTACTCCTGAAATCATCGTTGCACTCTATGCTAATGAACTTGGAAGTAAATTTAAGAATTAATTAATTAATTTAAGAATTTATTAATTAATTTAAAAAGGAAAAAACCCAACAACTTTGCCACATCCTTGGGACTGCAGCCACTGATGCCTCTTGGCTCGGGTGTGGGGCCGGTTCTCTCCCCAGGAGAGCTGCAGGAGGAGACTAGAGTTGTGTGTTTCCTGCGTGTGTCTAGCCCACAGGGAAGGACTAGAGTGCCCGAGTCCACATCTTGCATGCGTGCTGATGTTTATTGTCACCATGAGGCTGTGTTGCAGAGCACGCTTGTGTCAGAGAGTCTACCCAGCCAGCCGTCAAGCCCTGTCAGTTCGCAGTCCAATGGTCCCCTTCCTTCCCATTGACTCAGAAACGCACAATGGCCAACGTCTTCAGGCAATGGCACGAGGAAGGGTGTGATGTTCTTACAGTTAGCCCATTACATTTTCACGTGCCCCAGGCCCCCCATGTTTGGCTGGACAACTGGGTGGGACTCACTGCTCCGGGTCTCCAGTTCCCTGGGTTCCCTTGCCGGAGGTCACGGCCTCCAGTGAAAGAGGAAAAGAGGGATGGTGGACACCGGGTAGAGGCTGGGTCAGCCCTGATACTGGCTTTTGGGGAGATACTGGTGGGCAGCTGTGTGGTCTCCTTAAAGGCGGCACTAACCCGGGGCACCTGGGTGGCTCAGTCGGTTAAGCGTCCGACTTCGGCTCAGGTCACGATCTCACGGTTCGTGGGTTCCAGCCCCGCGTTGGACTCTGTGCTGACAGCCAGCTCAGAGCCTGGAGTCTGTCTTCTGATTCTGTGTCTCCCTCTCTCTCTGCCCCTCCCCTGCTCACACTGCCTCCCTCTCTCTTTCTTGGAAATAAATAAAAAACAAAAAAACAAAACAAAAAAAAGGCAGCACTAACCAAAGCGCTTGCTTGCAGGTGAAGCATTTGTATATCACTAAGGAGCTGGACCAGGGGCCTCTCGAGAGGCTGGGCTCAGTGAGGAGATCCGTGAATCTCTCCAGGCGGGGTAAGCAGTCACTGGGTCCTTGGCCAGGCTGCTGGGGTGGCAGGTGGGGTGGCCATGGGGGCTCAGGCCCTGCAGCCCACTAGGTTCTACTGCTACAACCTGTGTGACCTTGGCCACAGACTTCTCCTCTGTCCTGCAGCGTCCTCTGTAAAAGCAGGACAGCAACACCACCAACCGCAGATGGGTTAGAGAGGACTTAATATATGTGGAGCACTTTGGACATGAGAGCAAACTGGGGAACTATTTCACTGTGGCCTTGCTTTTCTTTCCCTATTGTTTCCAGGGTGGGGGGGTCTCATCTCCTAGCTAGATAACAGGCTCCACATGCTACCCTCTTTTCCTGGGGGAGCGAGGGGACAGTTATGGGATCCCTCTGGCCTCGCTCAGGTCGCCATCCTGCCGAAAGCCTCTCTGGCTTCCGTCACTTGCCTGGACCCCGCATCCTCCCAGCCGTGGGGCGCACACAGCCTTACTGGCCACCCCTCCTTCCCTTCATGCCCCACGCCCCACTGCTGCCGCCCCCATAACAAGCCATTGCATGCAGCCTAGCCAGCCTTTCTAGATGCTTCCCATGGCACGGCCCTTTTCTGTTTCCCAGAATGCCTTCCTCTGCCTGACGAGTCCCTAGACACTCCTCAGGCAGCTGCTACACCTCCTCTGGGACTCTTGCTGGGGCGAGTTCCGCTGCCCTGGCAGACGAGGGGTAGACTTGCTCACGTGCCACCTGGTGCCCACATCTCTGCCATTGCATCACGGTGTCATCGCCACCTGCCACCATGCCTGCCTGCCCCACCCGTTGAGATGGTGGCAGGGTCCACACAGTCCTCCCCACTGTGTTCATATATAGCCTCTGACCGGCGCCTGGCCAGAGGGGGTCCCAGGGACTCTGCTGCTGGAGAACAGGCGTCCTGACTCCCGCCATGCTGTTGACAGGGCGCCTCGGGGCTGCACCCATGCCCTTGGCCCTTGCCTTGGTGCTGTTCCTCCTTGTCCCCAGGGGGGCTGCTGAGACGTCCCCAGAGCCCGTCATCACTGTGTCTCTCCTTGCTGCAGAGTCCGACATCCGGCCCAGCAAGCTCTTAACCTGGTGTCAGCAGCAAACTGAAGGCTACCAGCACGTCAGTGTCACCGACCTAACCACATCCTGGCGCAGCGGCCTTGCCCTGTGTGCCATCATCCACCGCTTCCGGCCTGAGCTGATGTGAGTCCTGCATGGCCCAGGGGGACCCTGGAGACAAGGGGGACCAGGGCTGTTCTGCAAGATGCAGAATCTTGGCTTGAAATGTATCTTCTATTCTTAAGTTTGTTCTTTTCCATTTGTGCTGATTACTCTCAGCAGCTTATGTGACCTGTGTTCCTAACATGTGAGGAGGAAAAGCAGCCCAGGCTGAGTGTATATGCTTGTCACTGGGGAAATCGAGCCTCTGCCCCTGGGCGCTCTACCCACAAGAGAGCAATTCTGGGCAAGACCTCATTCTGGGGACCCGTCTAAGAGTTTTACAGCCAAAAGAGTTGGATCCAAGATGCAGACCAATTAGCTGTGTCACACTGGGCAGGTCACTTGCCTTCTCTGAGTTTGTTTCTTCATCCATAAATTGGCAATAATGGCAGCATCATTGGGCATGTTGGACACACTTTGTGATGTTGAAGGCCCAATAATACATCAATTGATGTTGGATTCAAATCAACAGCAGAGTGGCTACACGGCCGCCAGTACATTCATCCAAAAGGCAGAAAGGAAACCCATCAAAAGGTCATCAGTTGGTACTTTAGGAAGTAAGGTTGCCTCAAAAAGGAGATGGGACACTCACTTGTTACTTTATATGTTGTATACCCTTTGGTTCTTTTTATATTACTTTTAGAATTAAACACATAAGCATGTAAAGAAACTATTTAAAAATAAAGTAGCTGATAAGTTTTCCAAACAGGTATCAATTATCTTCCCATTGTTTCAGCCCAGGAGCAGTGATGTTGTCCTGGCCTAAATCTGATTCAATCCCACCCTGAGTGAGAAGGAGGCTCCCTGGGCAGCAGAGGGTGGTGGGGGAGGAGGGGAGTGGGGTGGTCAGGGCAGCAGGAAGCAGGAAGGGGGTGATCAAGGACAGGGGTTGGGGTCCCGGCTCCCTCGTCACCTCCCTGCCACTGAGACCCAGTAGAGTGTCCCTCATAATGCTCCTCATGGGTAAGTTTGTTCAGCTCTTCACATCTCTGTCTCCTGTCCTTGAACCTGACTTTGTTTTGATTCTCCAGTAACTTTGACTCTCTGAATGAAGACGATGCCGTGGAGAACAACCAGCTGGCATTTGACGTGGCCGAGCGTGAGTTTGGTATCCCCCCGGTGACCACAGGCAAGGAGATGGCATCAGCCCAGGAGCCCGACAAGCTCAGCATGGTCATGTACCTCTCCAAGTTCTACGAGCTCTTCCGGGGCACCCCGCTGAGGCCTGTGGGTAAGGCCCTGCTTTGGGGTGAGGCTTTGGTGCGCCCTGGGTCCATCTCTGCCCTATGCCAATGTCTGGCTGCTCTGCTCACTGATGTCATCTGTTCTGGGGCTGGCCCACACCTTCCCTCTGGCTTTGGGGCCAAACAGGAGTGGAGCCAACTCCCCCAGACCTGTGCGTGTAAGTGGGTGTGTGTGGCAGGTGCCACGAAAGGCTGAAGGTCTGCCCCTGTAGCTGGGGGGTCACTGATGGAGCTGCACGGCCCACACCCAGGTCACTTGTATCTTTCGTTGAGGGTAAGGGGAGTATTTGGAGGGACTTTGTAGCCATGACATCCCCTGAGTCCTGGGGTAGTGGTGATGGGGTCTGATCTCTGTCCTATTTTTATTTGTGAATAGATTCTTGGGGCAAAAACTATGGAGAAAATGCTGACCTCAGCTTGGCCAAATCCTCCCTGTCTCATAACTACCTAAACCTCACGTTTCCAAGGAAGAGGACTCCACGAGTAAGTGTTGGCCTGCTTTTGTTTGATGTCTCTTTGCTCATGGAGGGCCAAGGGGGGCGGGGGGAGTGTCCTGCTCTCCATCCGTGAATGCTGATAAATTTTGCAGTTCAGGTGCTCACGAAGACACAAGCAAAGCTCAGTTTAGTGGCTGACGGCTTTTGGAAGTTGCCCTGGCACCATGTAGCTAGCTACAGCCACCTAAAAGTGGTAACAGGAAGGGCGTGGCAGAGAGGTGAGAGGTCAGGCGGCGGAGCGGTTTTTAAAGTAAATCAATATTACGCTATATGCTAACTAACCAGAATTTAAATAAAACTTTGAAAAAAATAATAAAGTGAATCAGATTAGCCCTGCCTCCTAAGGGGGGAAGGAGGAGACGATTTCTCGCTTGTTAAAACAGTTCGGATCAGAAACACAATGGCTGCTAGTGGCAGAGGTGTGTGGGAATATTACCTTGACACATTCAGTTCCGTTAATTTCCTTCCTTCCTTCCTTCCTTCCTTCCTTCCTTCCTTCCTTCCTTCCTTCCACAAATGTTTATTGGGCTCTACTGTTTGCCAACTTTAGGGCTGAATTCTTTCTGACAAGTAGCAAATATACGGAGGTGAAGAATGGATGCCTTTGAGGAGCTCAGAGCCTAAAGAGGTTACTAAACTTTCCTGCCTTACAGCACCGTCGGTGCCCCAGTAATTTTTATCCCAGTGCCCCTAGATCAAAAGAAACACGTAAAAGTTCTGTTTGCTAAGTAGGTAAGTCCATACTCCGTAGGGGTGTTTTGCAAGGCGCATACCAGACTTCACCCTGTTTCCCTAGAAAATGCATCCTCTGACTCTATAAGTACACTCTGGGGCCACGGGGTGCCTTGCTACACAGTTTGGGAATTATGAGCCTAATGAGAAATTACCATTTTATCTGAATGACGACATCCCCATGCTAGATAGAATAGAAGTTATCTTGCTTAGCGTGCTCACTTTACAGATCAAAAAATTAGAGGCCCAGAGATATTAGGTGGCAAGTACTCACACAGAGCTCGCCTCCCTCCACGGAGGGGCGGGACTGCCAGAGGGCTGCAGGCCTCTGCGTGTGTCTCAGTCTCCCTAGGTTGCCCACAGTCTCCTGCTTGTGGTCAGTCATGCCCGGTCCTGCCAGGCCTCCACCCGGGTGGGGCCGGGGCCACGTAGCCTCCTTTCTTTCCCTCAGCTGTGTGAGCAGGCGGTCAGTTTTTCCACTGAGGTCTAGGCTCCCTGGAACGTCGGAGCCTTGGCGCTCACTCCAGGCGCAGGCACGTTAAGGTTCCGCCCCACCCTGTCTAGGGGACAGAATGGCCCGGCTGGGCCAGGGCTGGGGAGGGAAGGTGTGCAGATCTGCACACCGCCGCTGAGCGGCCGAACCGCGCCCACTCGCAGGCTCTGTGCGCCGGCTGCGTGGCTAAGCACATGTCCTGCTGAGTGCAAGCCATCTTCCAGAGACCACCATAGCCTGGTTTCACCCCAGCCCAGCTACTAAGGATCCCCACGTTGGGCTTCCCCATCCCAAGCAAGCTAATGCAGTCTTTCTAGAAACTGAGGCAAATATTTAACCCCTTTCTCCATTCACCTGCTTTCTCCCACCACTTGGCCCACAGCTGGGAACAGCACGGGGAACTGGAGAGGAATGTGAAACCTATCACTCACCACACCTCTGTTTACAGAGTGACGGAACTGAACCAGCCTGGCCAGTTCTGGGTCACATGGTGGGAACGGTCGGCAAGGCCAGCCAGGCCCTCCAAGGGCTTGCGAGGTCCTCACCCTCCTTCACACTGGCTCTGCTAGAAAACGCAGGGGGAGTGGGTGGGCTCTGCCTGGGCCCAGCCCTGGCGAAGTTTGAACCTCGTCTGGTCACCCCCAAGGGTGACCCCTGAGAGGGGTCCCGTCCTCCCCCTGCCCCATTTATGTCTAGGATTTGCCACGCTGTTTGGATAGGTGGAGACAGTAGGTCATTGAAGTAAGTGCTTGGATGTGGGCATATTTGTTCTCTTTCTCCTCAAATTGATTGAATGCTTCCTCTGAGTGGGCTGGGGAGCTAGGCCCCTGGAGCATGTTCTGCCTTAGTCATCACTAAGAGATAGTCCACCACTCAGTGACAGAGCAGTGGTTGGACCACACACAAAGCACCTCCTCCCCATGCGACCACATGTCTTCTTGTATCTGGATACTCTTTGGTTTGGAGAACCTATTTGCAATGCTCTTTGATCTTGACATTTCTCACAAGCAGGGTACTCAGGGCACTCCAACTTCCTCCAGGATGGGGATAGAGGATGTCTGCACAGGAGACTCTGTGTGCACGCACACGCGCGTGCGCGCGCGCGCGCACACACACACACACACACACACAGGCTTCATCACAGTCACACCCAGAAGATGTCAGTGCAGTTAGACACATGGCCCTCAGTGCCTCAGCTCAGGCACCCCTGGGTACCAGCGATGTAGGCTAGGCCATGCCTGCATGACTTTACCACTGCACACACCCAGGATCTGTACACATAGAGGCATCTGTATTCACTCCCTTTCCCCATCCCTCCCTGGCCCTCCTATTCCCTTGAGAATTTCCAGAGGAGCATCTTGATGCAGGGATTGAGGAGCCCATATTTGTTCACAATGCGGCACCTTAATCTGAAGAGGCATCCATGTTTCTCTGCGGAGCCAGTGTTAAAATCTCCCTCCCTCTCCTTGTTTTCACTGCTAGTGTTCAATTGTTGTCTCATCCGTAACCCTGATAGCATCCAGATCCAACCAAGCTGATCAACTTCGGGCAAAATAAAAGACTTTTCGCCTCCCACGACCTTGTTGGTTTTTAGGTAATGTAACTTTCCCAGCAGTCCGCCAAGAGGATCGTCCCTCTGGGTGAGTGGTAAACTATTGAGGTTGACTGATCGGCTCCGGAGACTGATGGCCATGCCTGGGGAAAGGAGAAGACCTTGGGGATTATATTTTCCTCTGTAAAAGCTCTCAGCCTGCTTCTGAAGGTCTGCTTCTGGTTCTGTGGCATAGGAAAATTCCTGGGGACTCCGGAGCTCGTTGCCATGCACCACAACTGACATCTGAACGTGGTCTCTGTCCTGGGTATGCACTCTGAGACCCACTGCATGTGGGTAACGCCTGGATTTATGGCCACTCCAGTCATTGCACCCGTGATATTACGCACACACTCAGGGCACCTGATCTTTGCTCTCCCCCTCCTGAGCCCACCCCTTGGAGGACAGTACGACACAGACGTGTCACTGATTCATGAAAAGCCCATTCCGGAAGCCAGGTTGGCAGCCCCAGGGTATTTATCCTGCTCAGCTGGCTGATCGTGACTCACATTCTCTGTCAGCCCTGATCCTGGGAGAGTGGAGTTCCCAGAGCATGGCTCCTGTAGGTGTCTGGTCTCAGCAGTGAGGGTGCCCACCCAGCTCTCTCCTCCCCATCCCTCCAGAAGAACTTTCCAAAGAGCCAAGGGCACTGGGTAAGGAAGTGCTTCCTTTTTCCCTATTTACCGGGCGCCTCTTTTATGCTGGGTCCTCCTGTGAGTACTGGGAGTGGAGCAGAGAATACGACAGGCAAGGAGCCTGCTGGAGATGCTGACCTTCTAGGGGTCCTGCCTGAATTCCCCTCCCCGTCCCCAGCTGCTTTCGCAGCACACCGCCCAGCAGCGGGGCTCCCCACCAGCTTGCTAGTACTTCTCAATTCAGGTATGTGAAGAAAGCCCAGGAGAGTGAAGAGCAGCAGGTCGGGATGCCGCCCGGCTGAGCAAGCTCCGGGCCTTCGAGCTGCCTTCTGGCACCTGTGGTTTGCAAGCTGATCTCTCTCCTAATCTCCATGCAACACGGCCAGGGATTCTGAGCTGACTTACAGAACAGGAGTAACTTTTTAAAAAAAAATTTTTTTTTAATGTTTTATTTATTTCTAGGAGAGAGAGAGAGACAGCGTGAGCAGGAGAGGGTCAGAGAGAGAGGGAGTCACAGTCTGAAACAGGCTCCAGGCTCTGAGCTGGCAGTCAGCACAGAGCCCGACGCGGGGCTCGAACCCACGAACCGCGAGATCATGACCTAAGCGAAAGTCGGATGCTTACCCGACTAAGCCACCCAGGCGCCCCAAGAACAGGAGTAACTTTGAAGCCAGGCAGACAAAGCCTGCCGGGCATTTGGCACATGTTTGAACCTCTCAGAAGGTTCCTTGGCTTGTCTGCAGAATGATGGCGATAACTTCAACATTGCACTGCCCGGCTGCAAAGCCGGCATGAACCAATGTGTACTGCAGGTGCGAGCCCTCGCCCTGCCTCCCATGAGGGAAAGGCTCCACAAACGGTAGCTCCTGTCCCTTAGGAGCCCCGATTAAATGAAGATGCCTGTTTTCTGAGCAGATGAGTCAAAGTGAACAGTTGGTTCTGCCTTGCGGCCATGATTGATGCCACCCTTACAGTGTGCAAAGCGGTTCCCTATGTATCTCATTGGCTCTTTGTGTTGCCTTTTGAGGAAGTTGGGGCATGTATTCTCATCCCAGTTTTAGAGAAGGACAACCTTGGATGTGGGAGGATTAAATTGTGAAGTCCCATCGTGATGGTGAATGTCACAGTCGGAACTAGAATTCAGATTTTCTAATTCTGTTAACTAGCTTGAATCTAGTAACACTGTCTAGCGCTTCTATAGCTAACCTTATAAGAAGTGTTCTGTGTACAGGACTTCATTAATCCTTACAACAATTTATGAGGTAGATAATATGTCTAGGTGAGGAAATAAGAGGCAAAGAAACTGAAGTTAGAGAAGTTAGGTGATTTTCCGAAGGTCACACAGCTAGGAAGTAGTCATCGCTCTGTTACTGAAGAGAAGAGCTCTTTTGCCAGTGTCGCTGGCCATCTTTCTAAATATCACGGCTGCCCCTCTACTCATCCAGGCATTGCCTGCAATGGCCAGTCTGTCTTCTTGTGCCCCAGATCTAAACTCTCCAGGGTTAGACTACACTAGCTAGCTAAATAGAAAGGCTCTTTTCTTTGGGCGAACATCAATGAAGTTGAGCTTTATGAGAACATGGTTATCTTATACTGATCAGATAAATAATCAGATTAGCTGCTCTATGTCTGTGATTTTTTTTTTTTTAAATGGAGAAACCGATGACTGGGTTTGGATAATATAGTCTCTGATGTTAGAACAGTCAAGCCCTAAACTGTCGAATGAAAGTAAGATGTGTTGCTCTTTGAGAGAAAAACCAAGTCTTCATTTTAGGTGGAGACAAAACAAAACAAAAAACACAACAGAAAACCCTTAGATTATGCATGGAGAGTTCTTGTTGGATCGCACATCCTGTACTTTCTTACGCTCCAGCCTCCGCCAGCAAACCATTCACAGGCGCTAGAGCTGGGGGCCCAGACAGCCTGCGCCTCTAAGACCCAACATTGTTGCAAATAAGGTCATCTGTTTCTCTTGGTGTTTGCCCAAGCGTTTGGGTTGGAATCTGTTCCATTCACAGCATAATGATTTATTAGAAGCTGAAGGAAATGTTGAAGGGAAGGCAGGGCCCTTGGATCTGTTCCTTTGTGCTGCCTGAACAAGGGAAGGGTCAAATTTTTGTGCAAATATCAATGACCAAACAGTGGTGGATCTTGTCTTTAAAAATATTAAAGGTGCTGGTAAATGTGGAAAGGGAGCAGGGGAGGCCGGAGTACAAAGCAGGGGAAGCAGGTGCTTTCTGCTGGGAGCAAGCGGGTGTACAGTGGTGTGTGTTTGGAGGGCTCTCGGAGTCCCTGGTGCAGCAGAAGTGGGAGGTAGAAGACATGTCCGGTGGTGTAGCAGGGGACTGATGGGGCTGTGCTTCAGAGTTTAAGGGGATAGAGTGGCCGACAGCCCTCCCCACTGCATCCCAAGTGGAACAAAGGCTTGGATTTAAGGTGGCATGCTACGGAAGGCCTGTCCGAGGCGGGGGCGGGGGGGGGGGAGGGCCTTAAAGGGGAAGGGGGCATCCATGGCCCTCAGGGGGGCCGGCCATTTGGAGAAGGTCCCAGCTGGAGACTGGTGGCAGGATTGTGGGTCTTCTCGCCATAAACATCAAGAGGCGATTTTGCTATAAAAGACAAAAGCACAAAAAGTAAAAGTTGGGCATCCATTAAAAAGGACATAAGGAAGCCTGAAAAGCAACAAAATTAAAAAGACTTTATTGTGAAATACAAACTGGTTGGATACGTTCAGAACATGTGGCTAGTATAGTGGAGATTCATTACAACCTTGTGCAAGTAACTGGTTTCTTTTTGTGGGCTGGACCTCATCAGCACCGTCTTCAAAGCCTTTGGTTCAACCTGTTACACATCTTTTTTGCTTTGTGATTGGTCTCTTTGTTGGACGTTGTATGTTTTCTTTATTCGCTGAACTTTCTTCCTTAAAAAAACAAAAACAAAAAAAACCCAAGCAAGCAAAACCCAAAAAACCCCAGCTTTCTTCCTTTAGTGAGAGAGGAATCCATTTCCAAATACTAGGAAACCTATTTGGCTCTGAGCTCTATGTTGTTTTGTGAGCACCTTCCACCCCATCATTTACTCTTGGCATATTGTCACATGTCCTTTGATAGACATCCCTAAGTTCTATGGGAAATGGGGGCTCAAAACTCTGCCCCACCACAGAGACGATCGCCGGGGCTAAGATTTGTAGACTATAAACTGTGCCTGTGGAGAAATGAAACCAAGCCATCTATCAGTTGATGGAAACAAACTGTCCCCACAGGTTATTTTTTTTTTAAATCTGTTACAGCAACATTACTTTATATCCAATTAGTTAGTTGCATGCTAAAACTGCTTGTGGCAAAAGTGTTTGAAGCAAGGACATCTGCAGCAAAGCTGTGTGGCCAAAATGCTGGGCATGGGTAGGGAGAGCAGCCTGTAGAGTGGGGTTCTCCAGATTTAAACGTTCAGATTCGGGCAGCAGAAAGGAGGCACAAGGTAGGCAGCCAGGTGATTTATTGTCTAACCAGGCTACTTTTGAGACTGAAAGGAAACACTACATAATTCTGCTGGGGGAAACAATACATCAAAACTGTCCTGGGAAAATAGAGTTGTGTGGTCACCATAGTTTTCACTCCTTTGAAGTTGTTAGAATACCGTTTACTGGTGTTGGCAGTGGTGACTGAATGGCAGATTAATTTGTCATCAAATCCCTGGATAGCTGATCTGAACTCTGGGAATTCCCACCTGTGAGAGAGGCAGTGCCACCTGCTTGGAGGAGGTGGCCTCCTTGGGGGAGCATGTGAACCGGCATTAGCAGACTGGCTGTGACTGCTCTGAGCCCAGGGTGGCATTGACCACAGACAGTCCCTGCCTTGCCCATGTCACAGGGATTCTTTGTGCTTTGGGATGTTTCAGAATGATCTTTTGTGATGTGATTCCCACCCGCATGGACAGAACCCTCCCTCGGTTCAGTAAGGCTCCCTCCGGAGCGCCCGAGTGGAACTCTGTGATAATGTGTGTCACAGCACAGGGTGATTTATGTCTGTCTCCTGGGCTGGCAGCTGTGTGCTGGCTCAGGGCCTGCCCCGTGGCCTGGGGGCTGCTAGTGGAACCGTAGACCTTGATGGCCCTGAGCTCACCATGATTTCTTGGCCACTGCAGGTGGACGTCCACACAGAAGACAGCGACATGAACAAGCGGAGGCGGAAAGGCTTCAACAACCCGGATGAGGTTTGTGTGCCTAGTGTCAGTTTAAGCAAAGGCTGGGTACCTGACAGCCGGTGGCCACTGTGCTGGTCTGTCCTTCCTTTCCTCTCTCGTGAACCACTCACTTCCAAGCTTGGCTTGATGGGAAAACCATCGGGCTGTGGTCCTCCCTCCATGACTTAGTAGGTGTGTCACCTGGAGAAACAGAGCCTTTCCAGGTGTGTTCAAGTCTATGAAATGCAGGTGATACATTTGAACTCTGTGGAGCTTTCACAGGATTTTTAAAGATTAAAGAAGAGGGTGTATATAATGTGCCTAGCAGGATACCTGGCACTTGTGTTAATCAGTATATCATCACTATTAAACAGGAAGAGGGAACAGGGCCCCAGCAACCCAGCCCCTCTCTTCCCTCCTGGTCATTGTTTCTACCTTTTGTTTTCTGCACTTCTAGTCCTTGAGGCAAATGTCCCAGTGCCCACAAGTGCCACCTTCTGGTGAAAGTGGAAAATTACAGGCTACTTTGTCAAAACCTGGCAAGCGCTGATCTCTCTCCTGCTGAAAAATCCATCTGGCCCAAAAGAGAGTATCAGTTTCCACTTCCCCAGGAAGCTCTTTAAAGAGACCTGAGGTACTCACACCATCTGAAAAAGCTGTTTTAACCCCACAAAAACAAGCATAGATATTGTCAGTCAACTGTAGGATGCCGGCGTTAGCTAGCCTCCTGGCCGATGTCATCATTGGGCCCTAAAGGCATGGGGACAGTTTGTATAATACATTATACCTAAGTCACAGGACTTAGAATAGACTTCACCTTATATGGATGACGATGCATTATTGCTATATATTTTTATGGCATTGGTGTTTATGTCTGTGACTTGCTTCCTGTGGAAGTCTTGACAGGGGTCCAGACTCTGGCTCTCAAAACAGTGACCTTTATGACAAATAGAGCTACAAGGCTCAACCTGGGAACTGCCTGTCATTCACTCCCTGTTCTGGAAGGGGCAAAGACGAGCTCTGTTAAAGGAAGCCTGGAGTTCAGTTCATGTCTTAAAATGTGCACAAATATATTTTATCCAGTGAGTTCAAATCACCCTGGTTCAAACTTGTTTGATCCCTTCAAGAGAGGTTGCTTCTCCACCCAGTGCGAGCAAGAAGCTGGTGAAAAAGAAGGTGCTTGAGCGGAGGAAGCAGAGGCTGATGAACAGGGTGGGAGAGACCTCCCACTTTCCCCGTTATGGGGTCTCGGCTCTCACGTAGAGTGCCTGTGACTTGCCCCTGCCTCCTCCCTAGAGGCTTTGCTGGGATGCATGTCTCACGTGGAAGTCTTCCCCTGCCTGTCGTCCGTGGCTCATCTTGAAGGGGTGTTTGTGCTTTTTCCGTTGATGGTAGCACAGGAGTCGGAGTGTGGGAAGAAATCTGGTTTCACCTGCTCCTTCTGAGATGTTTCTGGACTGTGGTCCGAGCTAGCCGTTTTTGCTAAAGTCAGATTTAACTAAGGAATCATTCTTTCCGAATACTCAACTACTCAGAATGTAGGCCAGGAAGCAGCAGCAGCAGCAGCAGCAGCAGCATCCCCTAGCAGCTGGTTAGGAAAGCAGTGTGCTGTCCCCGACATGCCCTGAATCTGCTTCTGCAGCCGAAAGAGAGCCTCGGTGATTCATGTGTGCATTAACATCGGAGAAGCGCTAGCCCGTGACCCAGTGTCTTGGCCCACTTTGGCCTTGTGCCAGCAGCAGCCGCTCCAGTGGTGCCACCCTTCTCTCTTCCACTCAGGCCCGTATTGATATGCACAGTTACATTCCGTGCTTTGAAGTGGGGAGGGACTGTGTCTGTCCAACACTTCAGAGTGGCTGTGTGCATACAAGGTTTCCCCTGGGGCTCTTAGGGACTCTTCAGAAAGAAAAAAAATCACTTGACCATAGCTTGCCTCTTCCCATGACTTTCTGCTAAATAAACATATCTTAGTTGTCTTCAGAACATCTGCTCCTTTGAAGGAGGTTCATTGTCCCCTTGGGAAAGCCGACTGCCCACCAGATAGGATGGCATTTACTTCCGAGGGCTATGGGAGCAGATCTACGATAAGGAGAGAAGACTTTCAATGAACACCAGTAATTGTCCAAGTTTTAGTGTTTTGCAGATGAGCCAAGAAGACTTACTTGGAATTAACTCCTTGTGATAGAACAGCATAACCAAGTAGTGGTCACACTGATATCACGTACCCTGATGTAAAGCACTAAGAACACTTCTGAACTTTGTGGCATCTTCTCCAAAACCCATAACCCCTCTCTGGTCATGAGAAAACATCAGACCAACCCAGCTTGAGGGACTCTGTACAAAATAGCTGATCTGTCTCCTTCAAAATAGTCAAGGTTAGGGGCACCTGGGTGGCTCAGTCTGTTAAGCATCCGACTTCGGCTCAGGTCATGATCTCACGGTTTGTGAGTTCAAGCCCCACATTAGGCTCTGTGCTGACAGCTCAGAGCCTGAAGCCTGTTTCAGATTCTGTGTCTCCCTCTCTCTCTGCACCTCCCCCGCTCATGCTCTCTCTCTCTCTGTCTCAAAAAAAACCAAACTAAAAAAACTTTTAATTAAAAAAATTGTTAAGGTCATGACAGACAAGGAAAGATGGAGAAACTCTTATAGATGAGGGTGATTGAGGAGATAGGATGACCAAATGCCATGCGGGCCCTTAACTGGTAGCCTAGAACCTCACAGATGTTAGTGGAAAATTGGGGTAGTCTGAATCAAGTCTCTAGCTTACCTAATAGAATTGTGCCGGGGTTAATTTCTTAGTTTTGATAATAGTAGCATGATTATTCCAGATGCTAACTTTAGAAACATTTGGGTGAGGATATATAGGAACTATCTGTGCTATCTTTGTAACTTTTCCGTAAATCTAAAATTATATCCAGGGCTGTCTAGGTGGCTCAGATGGTTAAGCATCTGACCCTTAGTTTTGGCTCTCAGGTCATAATCTCAGGGTTTGTGGGATTGAGCCCCACATTGGGCCCCATGCTGTCAGTGCAGAGCATGCTTGAGATTCTCTCTCTCTCCCTCTCCACCCCTCCCCTGTTCGCTCTCTCTCCACGGAAATCTTTAGTAAAAGGCGAAAGATTTATACGATCTGAAGAGAAACCAGAGTATTGTGTTCACTCTCTCTCAAAGTCAATAAGTAATCTTATAAAATAACATTATTTCCAGATTAAAGGGTGGTTTTTTTTTAATATTTTAATTTATTTCTAGGATAGAGAGAGACAGCGTGAACAGGGGAGGGTCAGAGAGAGGCGGAGATACAGACTCTGAAACAGGCTCCAGGCTCTGAGCTGGCAGTCAGCACAGAGCCCGACGCGGGGCTCGAACCCACAAACCGCGAGATCATGACCTAAGCAAAAGTCAGACGCTTAACTGACTAAGCCACCCAGGTGCCCCAAGGGTGGTTTTTTTTTTAAGATAGTAACAACAGGGAGGGACAGGTTGAAGTCGGGATTGGGGTGCAGAGGAGAGAGGAGAAAGGAACCCAAAGCCTATGTCTTGCCTGACTGACACCACCTCTTGCCTCCTTCACCTCCCCCACCCCAACCCTTTACCTCTGATACCACATGGGGTATTTGGAAAACTGTTCTGCTTCTCACTTCAGTACTATATTTGACTTTGGCAACAACCAGATGAAGTGGGTTATGCTCCCATTTTACGGATGAGGAGACTTCAAAGAAGTTAAGTAAATTGCCAAGGTCACTGGGCTGGGAAGCTAGAGGCCATTTTCTTTCTTTTTTTTTTTTTTTAATTTTTATTTATTTCTAGGAGAGAGAGAGAGAGACAGCGTGAGCAGGGGAGGGTCAGAGAGAGAGGGAGATACAGACTCTGAAATAGGCTCCAGGCTCTGAGCTGGCAGTCAGCACAGAGCCTGACGCGGGGCTCGAACCCACGAACCGCGAGATCATGACCTAAGCGAAAGTCGGACGCTCAACCGACTAAGCCACCCAGGCGCCCCGCTAGAGGCCATTTTCAAATCCTATCTGGCCCCCAAGTGGGTATGCCTGTCCTTTGGGAAGATATGAGCATCGTCTCAATGGGCTTCACCCGCTGCTTCTGCTTCCCTTCCTTGGCCTGTGCGTCCTTCTTCAGGAAACTAGTCCCCCGTCTTGAGTCCCCAGGCCCCTTCCCGATATCTGGGTGCCAGGATCCAATGACCAATGTCCTCAATTTGCCCTTTGCAGCCTTCAACCTTTTCCAGCCAGAGCCTGCGCTCCAGTCAAGAGTGTGGCAGCAATAAAGAAGGTGGAAATCAGAACAAAGTCAAGTCCATGGCAAGTCAGCTGCTGGCCAAGTTTGAGGAGAACTCTAGGAACCCCTCGCTTGTGAAGCAGGTGAGTCCTGTCAGATGCTTGCTGGATCTGCCTTCCTGGTGACCAGAACCCACTGAGAAGCCAGCAGAAACCAGAAGCAGAAGCCAATTCAGGCTAGCGGTGGATTTCCACGTAGGCCAGCCAGGCCAGGCTCAGGTGGGACTGGCGCTCCTTCTAGATCAGAAGTCAGCACACTTTTCTGGGGAGAACCAGATAGCAGGTTTAGGCTCTAGCGAATATTTTAGGCTTCCGGAACCATCCTGTCTCTCTTGCGACCACTCCTCTCTGCCCCTGTAGCATGACAGCAGCCAGGGATGAATGGGTGTGGCTGTGTGCCAACAAAATGAATTTACAAAAACAGGCAGCAGGCCAAATTTGGCCCGAGAACTGTAGTTTGCCTGTTCTGCGCAGGAGGAGAGATCCAGAATTTGGTTTCGCCTTATAACCACGACTTAATCTGCAAGCCATCTTTGAGATGGGGTATGGGGGAGCCTTAGAGACGCCAGCTGCCTGGGAGCCCAAGTCCAAAGTGAGAAGACGTGCAAACCAAGGGAAACTGAGGCACAGGTCTACGCCCCAGGGGGGCAGCCCCCCCAAGTGTGCTGTGGCATCCCTTCCTCTGTGTTCACTGAGGTCAGGCTAGCAGGGTGGTTGTGTCTGAGCAGGGTGGCTGTGAGGCCGGAGGAGGCAGAGTGCGGTGGGCCAGGCTGTACACCATGCACACTGCTCTCACTCTGACTCCGGCATCTGTGCTGCTAATGGTTCTTTTTGCTCTCCTTAATTCCTCTGGGATGCCGCCGTCAAGTTACCAGAGCTTGGGATGAGGGGTTTGGGTTTTTTTTTTTAAGAAAACACCAAGTTAGAGAGGTTACAGGCAATCGTGAATGTCTGTCTGGTCTCCAGGGTGGACCATGCCTCCTCCCCCCTCCTGGGACAAACTGACCTTCCCCAGGAAGCCAAGTTTGCTATAAGGGGGCTATTTTCTCGAGACTTGTAATTCTCTTAATTTTTTTTCTCAATTGCCCCTTCTGGAGGCTTTGCCCTAGGAGTCCCCAAATGTCCCCAAGTGTCAGTGAGGGTTCTCTTCCGTCAGAAGGAACGCAGCATCTAGTGTGCAGGGAGGCTGCCGTCTCCAGGAGGACTCCAGGACTGGCCACCCTGGGTTGGCATGGACTGGCAGCATGGGCCCAGTGCCCTGGGTCTAAGCCAAGAGCAAGGCCTCCTTGGGATTTACACAGGAGAAGGGGACTCCAGGACTCACTGTTCACATGGACGGAGAGCCAGGCTTCAGGTTTCCCAGCGGGGCCCCAGCTTGCAGGGGTGCTGTCTCTGCCCGCCTCTCTTCTCCTCCTTCGAGTTCTCGGTCTGACTCACCTTTTCCTTCATGTTTCCTGTGGCTGCCTTTTCGGACTCCCTTCCCCTTCCCAGGAATGCTGCATCTCAGGGACAGGTAAGCCTGTCCTGTGCCCTTCCTCTGACCCACCCGTTAGCTCTCGCTGCCCCCGGCCAGAGGAGCCCACACCCGGCCCATCACCTCCTCTGAAAAGGCAGGTAGGGCTCCTTCCAGTGGACGCTGTCTTGGTGAAGTCAGAGGGGACTTTCATCCAGAGGGGCGGGGTCGGTGGCTGTCTGTGCACCCCCCATAGGGCTGATTGTAGAATCTCTGGGAAGGCAGACAGAACTTGGGGTAACTGCCCTTATAGGTAAGAATAACCAAGTATGTAGCATCTGGGAACACGTACCAGTCAGCAGTCAGGTCTTCCCAGCCACTGCGCTCTTGACGCTGCATGTGCTTGGATGAGAACCGGCCGTACAATGGGGGGATTACAATGGGACACGTAGTTTTGTTTGCAGACCACTTGAATAGGCAGATTTCAAAATGCAAGGATAAGTGGCAGTGGGGTTGGCATGGGCTCAGGTGACCGGTTGGCTGCACACCACTGGCAGGGTAAGGCTGGGGTGTGGCAAAGTCCCCCCCTGGTCCCCAAGCAGACAAGGACCGGCCGGACCGGGGAGGCGGCTGGCAGCCGTGGACTGAGGCTTTTTCCAGCTAGCACCTCTGGGTGTGGGATTTGAACAGAGACACTTTTGTGATCACAGTACTCAGAAGTGGCTCGTCTGCCTCAGGAGTTTTGTGTCGCTCTGGGTGGTGGAGGTTGAGTGAGGTCCGTGGGGATACATTGCAGTGATTTTATGTCTGTGAGCATCAGAATCACCTAGAGAGGTTTTAAAAAAATTTTTTTAATGTTTGTTTATTTTTGAGAGACAGAGCCAGAGCAGAGGTGAGGCAGAGAGAGAGGGAGACACAGAATCCAAAGCAGGCTGCAGGCTCTAAGTTGTCAGCACAGAGCCCAGTGCAGGGCTTGAACTCATGGACCATGAGATCATCACATGAACTGAAGTCAGACGCTTCACCCACTGAGCCACCCAGGCACCTCTAGAGAGCTTTTTAAAAAGTATCAGATACCCTTGGGGCGCCTGGGTGGCTTAGTCGGATAAGCGTCTTGACTTTCGCTCAGGTCATGATCTCGCGGTTCGTGGGTTCGAGCCCCGCGTCGGGCTCTGTGCTGACTGCCGGCTCAGAGCCTGGAGCCTGTTTCAGTCTGTGACTCCCTCTCTCTCTGACCCTCCCCTGCTCACACTGTCTCTCTCTCTCTCCTAGAAATAAATAAAACATTAAAAAAAAAAAAAAAGTATCAGATACCCATCCCAGACCAGTTAAACGAGACTCTGGGGGTTGGGGTCAAACTTGGGTTACTTTTTCTGAGTGCCCGGTGTGAATTCAGGGTGCTGCTAGGACTGAGACCAGGCTTGTATGGGATTTGATCCGGTGGGTACGGGTGAGGCCCGAGACTGTGTGACGATGTCAGGTGTGGAGAGTCAGTCCCCGAGGTTAGCTGGGACTCTGACTCACAGCGGCACCTGGTGTGCCCTCTGTCCCTGGTCAGCATGGGGCTTGCTTACGGTGTGTGTGTGTGGGGGGGGGGGGGGTGTGAATGGGCCACGGTCAGGAAGGAAGCTTGATTTTCCTTCTCCCCCAGTTCCCCTCAGTGGTGACAGGGCACGTGCTCCGAGAGCTAAAGCAGGTGTCCGCCAGTGGCGAGTACCCCAGCAGGCCCTGGAGAGCCAGAGCCAAGTCTGACCTGCAGCTGGGGGGGCCAGAGAGCGCTGCCCCCTTGCCCCCTGGCTGTCAGGGGGCGCTGGCCCTTTCCGGGGTGCTGCGACGGCTACAGCAGGTGGAAGACAGGATTCTCCAGGTGAAAGCCTTGCTCTGTGCCTGCATGTGGCAGTGCCTTCCTTCCCTCCTCTCCTCCCTCTGCCCACAGTGGGTTCCTTCTCTTCCTCTTCACTCCCCACCCCCAACCCCCTGTCCCGCCTGTGCACTGAGGCCAGCTTGCCCACCCCACCCCCCTGGCCTCTTTCCTGGAGGTCACCCTCACGGTCGCTGTCACTGTCTCTTTTTCTTTCCTCTCTCTCACCTGGCCTGCAGAAGAGGGCTCAGAACTTGGCCAACAGGGAATTTCACAAAAAGAACATTAAGGAGAAGGCGGCTCACCTCGCCTCCATGTTTGGACACGGGGATTTCCCACAGGTAAACAAGGGGCTTTCAGAGCCCCTCCCCACCAGGAATTCAGATGTGGGACGTCCAGCCAAGTGATCGACCATGAGCCTCTGAAGCTTCCTATCTTCCCCCTCCTCCTTTTATGGCGTGAGGAGCTATTGGCTTTGCAAGAATTTTGGATGAGGCATCTAAAGAAGACCCAAATGGGAAAAATGCAAAAATGTGTAGATGAATCCATGACAAAGGGAAAAGCGAGGCAGTAGAGTAGGCAAGCAGAACCGTAGGCCTTTAGATCCGAGAGGGGTCCAAGTAGGCTCTGAGCACCCTAAGAGTCAACACAGAGAAGGAAAGCTGGCCTGGGCAAGAATCACATCATAGTGCCTTTAAAGTGAAAGCAGACCAGTTGCTCATGACATTTTGAAGCACAAAGGAGACCTCTCCCAGTGGCCCCGAGTGGGGAAATCCTGAATGATGGGGCCAACCACAGCCTGTGACCTGTGCTCAGCTTTCCCAAATGGCAGCATCAGCCAAAATGAATGGCTTTGCCTGCGAATGGGAAGCCCAGCCCCCTCCGGGCCAGGTGCTTCTTTCAAAACTTGATGAAAAGAAGAGCGAGGGCTGGCAAGGAGAGGGAAGAGCTGAAAGCGACTTCCACACAGCGCCTGTGTGCAAGGTGCTCCCTGCTTGCCGGCAGCCTGGTCTCTAGAACATAGCCCTTCTGCTGCTTTCACTCCATCTCCTCCAGACCCGTGTCCTCTAGTACTTGGTGGAGTCACCAACAGGGGAGGGATGCTTTGCATCTAGTTCACTTCTGGGTCCCAGGGACCGTCATGCACAGCAGCCCAGGGTGCTCCTTTCCTAAGTCTGCAGCTGCTACGTGACCCCAAGCTCCAGAGCGAGGGCGTCAGGAGTTAGCGCTGGTGTCTGCGGCAGACGGAGCGGTGTGACATGGGCCGACTCGTAGGAGAATGCGGTGTACCCAGGAGCCAGGTGGTCGTGCTGGCCTCCAAAGGCGGAGGCTTCTCTTTTGTCCTGAGACCCAGGCCTGGCTTTCTTCCCCCTCACCTTGACCGTGGAGGCGAGCATTGCCATGCACCCCCCAGGGACCATCACAGCTTCCTCTGTTTCTCTTCTGTGCAGAACAAACTACTTTCTAAAGACCTGTCTCCCGTGCACCCTCCGGCTTCTCCCTCCTGCCTTTCGTCTTCTGATCCTGTTTCTACTGCCTCTCCGTCGACTGTCGACTCTGTTTCTCCTTCCAGAAAGGTAGTTGTCCCGATCCATCAGCTTCTCCCACCCCCTGCATGTTCTGAGATCTTCTCTTCCTCTCCCTGCCCTGGTGCAGACAAACATCCGGGTCTTGCTCAGGCAGCAATGACGGTTTGTAAGGTGCTTTACGACAGTCCTGGATGTGTTTGTTTTTGTGTTGGAGCAAACCACAGAGCAGAACAGGCAGTACACAAAACCCTGTCAAACAGTGCCGTGCACCCAGCAAGCATTAACTGGCACCCACCATATGCCACCACGTGCCAGAGGCTGAATGGGTTCTTTGACTCCAGTTTTGATGATGAACAGCACAGCAGCATAGAAATGAGGAACTTGTTGCATAGGTGATTTCCAGCTTTTGGCTGTTTTTGACCTACCAAAATGGCAGCTTCACACGGCGAACCTACTACTTTTCAAAACTACCCGTTAATTCTGAGGCATAGAAAGGGCAAGTCTATAGGAACCCAGGGAGGGAGAGAAGTGTGGACAGGCTTCACAGAGTAGGCAATATGAGAACTGAGTGTTGAAGGTACATGGAAGGGGAGAAGGGCATTTTATTTTATTTTATTTTATTTTTTAATATTTTTTTTATTTATTTCTAGGAGAGAGAGAGAGACAGCGTGAGCAGGGGAGGGTCAGAGAGAGGGAGACACAGACTCTGAAATAGGCTCCAGGCTCTGAGCTGGCAGTCAGCACAGAGCCCGATGCGGGGCTCGAACCCACGAACCGCGAGATCATGACCTAAGTGAAAGTCGGATGCTTAACCAACTAAGCCACCCAGGTGCCCCGAGAAGGGCATTTTAGAAAGGTCTAGCGTGTGCCGAGGAAGGCAGACAGGGCTTGAGTGAACGGGAAGAGAATTGTGGTATAACTTGCTTTGGGAATAAAAGTATTTATGGGAGTGAGAAGGATGGGGGTGAGAGTCCACTCTCGGTGTGTAGGGGCTTCATTCTGTCCTCGTATAGCCACGGAAGCCACTGCTGTGTGTTCTAGAAGGCTGACTCGGGGAGCAGTGCAGAGGTTGACTTGGAGCGGGGCAGGAGGTGGGGCGCGAACTTGAGGCAGATAATGAAACGCGCCCTTGAACGATTTTTAAATTATGCTGTGGAGCAATTTCTGGTTTCCGCTTGTCCTCCTGTCATCAAGGATACCGAGAACACTACCGGGTGGGGGTGGGAGTGGGGTGGTCTCCGGGGGTGAGGAGCCTGAAAACGGACGTGAAGCCCACTTCTCTAGCCATTGTTCATGAAGGAAGCTTGGCCCCTTCCTCGCAAACCAGTCCGTCTAGCTCCCGCAGGCTCAGCATGGGGTGCGAGGCTGAATGTCCCCCAGCACAGTTACTGCCCCTTTCCTTCCGTGCTGTTGGGCTACACCAGCACCTGCTCTGACCGCAGTGGAAAATACGGAGCTTCTCTTGGTCTGCAGTTGGGAGTCCCACCCCCAGCGACCTCCCACTGCCATGGGGAGCAGAGCGCAGGGAGAGCCTCTAAAAAGGAACAAGGCATATTATCAGCCCCCCACCCCTCCACAGTCCCAATCGTGGGTGTGAAGCACCCCCTGGAAGGGCAGCAAGAGGTGACACGGCGAAACAGAAACCCCTCCAGTTCCACAGAAGATAGCCATGGCCGAGACACCCAGTATCTTGTTGCAGGCCAGCCATTTGTCGGCTGTTTGACCTGAAGTCTCCTGACCTGTCTGGGCTTCCGTATTTTCTCATCAATAAGAGAGTGGTTTCTGGCTCACGTGCTAGTGAGCTCTCTGGGTGGAGACTGGCATTTTTGTCATCACCATCACCAAGGCTGCAGAGGAGAGCCTCCCCTGGTGGGGGTGGGGGAAGGGTACTTGCTGCCGTGGCAGCCATGACAGTATGAGAAAGGGTGAGGGTGCCTGGGCACAAGCAGGCAGTGGCTGGTGCTCCTGGCTGGGCAACCGGGCCTCCACCATGCTTCTCTGCTGCTTAGCCCCTCTTTGGCTAGTCTTGGTCAAGGTCCCCTCTTGTCTCTGATTTTCTTTCATGCTCACGGTGACGTGGCTTGAGGGCAGAGCTGGGACAAGAAAAGCCACCACATGTCCCGAGTTTCCTGACTTGATTTCTAGTAGGTGTTTGATCTTTAGCTGCTGGCGGGGCCACCAGTGTCTAACAGAGGCACTTCTTGTCCATAAGCGTGTCCGCTGTCACATTGTCATCATGCTCTGCTGAAGCCCTCAGCTGCTTCTCCCTTGGGCTCCGCAAGCAGCTTTAAACCAATGTCCCCCATTAAGCAAGCCATTAGTGAACATTCAGCAATTCAACAAACATTTATTAAACAACAGACAGCTCAATGTCAGGCACTTCAGGCTCTTGGGATATGCATCAACGATCTGGAGTTACATTCCTTCCCGGATGAGGCTTGAATTGTTGTAGGTGGAAATAATGGTCAATGATAATACAATATATGCATAAACTATATAACACATCAGAAGACAAGACAGTACATCCTATGGAAAAATTAGAGCAGGTAGCAGGGACCTGGCATGCTGGTGAAGGGTAGTAATTTTAGATGGGGTTGTGGGAGGGTTTTTCCTGGGAAAGAGAATTGAGCAAGAGTAGAGCCACAGACAGGAAAACAAAGGTGCAGAGAGGCGACTGGTACCCAGCACTCCTGACCCTGTCCCAGTGTTCTCTGTACCACAGAGGCCAAGTGTGAATGGAGCCCTTGTCAGAGGCACCAGCGCAGGGGCTGTGACCATGTAGGGCTCCACACCCAGGCACATGGAGAGCTGCAAATAGGGTGGGCTTTGGGATGGCAAATCTCAGGCCCTCTCTTCCCCTCTACAGCTTTATTGCTTATTTCTACCAGGTTGTGGTAGAATAGTCACTCCTATTTTTCTTATTCCATCTCTCTAGCCAGCCTTGACCATCAAGTGATAGCATAATTCAGCTCTTTTTTAAAATGTTTTAATTTTGAGACAGAGAGAGACAGAGCATGAGAGGGGGAGTGGCAGAGAGAGAGGGAGACACAGAATCCGAAGCAGGCTCCAGGCTCTGAGCTGTCAGCACAGAGCCCAATGCGGGGCTCGAACCCACAAACGTGAGATCGTGACCTGAGCCAAAGTCGGAGGCTTAACTGTCTGAGCCACCCAGGCGCCCCTAACTGAGCTTGTTAATTACAGGCTGATGTGCCTGTGATGGTGTGGCTGGCAGTGAGTGGAGAGCTCTTAGAAAGGGTCACCCTGGGACACTGGGCAAGTCACTTATCTCTGTGTGCCTTAGTTTCTCCATTGTAAAAAGGACCTAATTTGGACACAACATTCACAACACCCTCCAGATCTCACTGTGAAGCCATTGTAGACAGGAATGAGTGGTGAATTCCCACTTTCAAGCATTCTTGGAGAGGATATTCCAGTGGCCCTGTACCTACCCCCTGCCACCAATTTCCCTCCCTTTCCTGGGCCCCACCCTACCACTGATTCAACACTGGACTTTGTGCATTAGAATCTGGCAGGGTGATGGCCTCTGAAGAGAAAATTGGCTTCCCCTTAAAGTGAGCGACAACCTGATGACAAACCACTTCATTCAGTCCTGAAGTTGCTCTGGGAGTCTCTCCCCTAGAGAGAGCCTGAGGCCTCAGTACTTCTTTCCAGCAGATTATGGGCTATTCTCATTGCCCAGTGCCCCAAGCTTGCCTCCATTCAAGGAAGCCAGAGGAAGGAAAAGGGACTTGGAAACTGATGGTTACTCCCTGGCAAATTCAAGCAGGCACCATGTCCCTATTCCTGCCCTAGAGCCCTACACTCGAATTTTGAGGATCCAGAGATAATCCCCTCCACCCGGGAGCAGACCTAGTTAAACTCGTATGAGGAACACAGGTTCCCCACAGGGATACAAACTCTGATCACCGGTCCCGAGAGAGATGGGGCCAGGGGTCTGCTTCAGATTCCACTTGCCTGCTCTCTCAGGTGGATGTTTTGCTTTAAGATTGAGTGATGCTGCTGGGAGTTTGGCCTGGATGGTATCACAGGGCATCTTTAGGTCCTCTCATTTAGGATCTAGGTCCTTCCCAGAGTCTTGTCATTTGCCAAGGCTGGTGAGCTCTTGTGGAAACAAGATGGTGGCTGAGTGTTTGTGCCACGGAGCAAGAGGGGACTGTGGTTTAGTCTTCCTGGGTCAGAAGAGCAGTGCACATTACAAAAGGAGCTTTCTCTACATGGGGGCATTTGTCCCAAAACTGGATTTGCAGGGTTTGTTCTAGAGATTTGTACATCAGAGGAATGTTGGCTGGATACTCCATCTTTGTTTCATTTGATACAAGGATAGATCTCAAGGCCGCCCTCAACCTTATTGTCTTTCTCTTTTTTCCTGGGATAAGACTGCCTTTGGAAGTGCACTGTGTGCATCCCAACATGGGGAATTTTAGTTTGCAGAGTGCTTGTGTATTTTAGGGAGGCGGGGTGCTGTAGGGAGGAGAGTATGAGCTTGGAGTCACGCTTGGGTTCAGAGCATCAAGTACCCACTGTGTGACCTTGGATGTGTTGGTGGACCTCTGAGCACTTCAGTTTCCCATCCTACAGAATGGAGGTGATGGCAGCCAGCCCTGAGGGTGACAGGGATAATGCAGTAAACTGGCAAATGTAGCATGCCTGAAGGATCCTGTAAACATACTCTTTCCCCAGCGGAGGCGAATTCCAGAAGAAAGCTCACTTACCTGTAATGCATGTTGATTCCTCTCTTTCTAAAGGCAAAGAAGTCACCTTCAGGTTTCCATTTCCATCCCAGCCACTTAAGAACAGTACGGCCTCAGGTGAGTTAGAGCCTCCCTGAATCTCAGCTGTGCCATCTGCGAAGGGGGATTATGAGACCCACCTCGCAAGGCCGTGAGCATTACACATGGAAGGGCACAGCTCGGTGCCTGGCATCAAGGGATGCAGGTGCAGACGTGGGTGCCTACTGGGAGGTCACAGCCCCAAAGGCCTGCCTGAGTCTCAGCTCTGAGGGTAGAATTTCCGGACCCCTCACAACAAGGTGGTTTTGATCCCTGCCCTCTCTCCCCCTTGCCCTGAGCGTATCCCTGGGCATGCAGACCCACAGCCTGTCCTGTGATAATCCTCATGCAGGGACCCCTCAGAGAAGAATGTTGGCCCACGTATGCCCACAAGACCCTCTCTGGCCCTGCCTGTCAAAACCTCCCCTTCCAGTGAGCCCTCAGCTTGGAGGGCCTGGAAGCTTCCCTCTCACCCTGCCTGAGCCATGTGGGCTTCATGATGCTCACAGCAAGCCAGGTGGTCACAGGGGCCCAGCTCTCTGCGCAGAAGCACAACCCAGACACCTGGTATTCTTGGCTGAGCTCCAGGCCCGAGGTGAGGGGAGAGGGGGTAGGAAGGGGACGTTAGCATTGTTTGGCCACAGGTGGGCCCAGGAACCTGTTTCCTCCTTCATTGAGAGCACATGCCCTATGCCTGGAGTGTGGACATGAGTAAGACACAGTGATGACCTCAGTGAGTGTAAACTGGAAGGGAGATGGAGAGCAGGGCGAGAAAGGCTTGTCATGTTCTGAGCTCAGACTGCCGGGGTTGCCTCAGGAGTGCCTCCTTGTGGGGGTCCTCTGGGGATGGTGCTGGTGACAACAGGTCTGTCACCATGTTTGAATCTGGGTTGACTCATCAAAGAGAATCTGGTGTGCTCACCCTGAGTGGGCTGTATTGGGTTTCCTTGTGCAGAGGGGGATCCCAAGCAACCTAGAGTTTGTCAGAGTGAAGGCCGTCTAAGAAAGGAGAGAAGTTCCAGAACGTGGAAGTATAAAGCCACCCCAAAGGCAGTGCTTTGGACTATCTGACAAGTGCTTCTTGGGAGCCCAGTGCTACGTGAGATGTGGCCCAGATTCTATGGGGACCCTTTGTTGCAGCCCTGCAAGGATGGAGATGATCTTTCCATTTTATAGATGAGGAAGCTGAGGCTCACAGAAGGGAAATGGTGTGTGTGAGATGACTCTAATGTAAAGTGAGATGATGGTCCCTGGAAGTGTCCAGCAATTCCAGCTTGTTCTAATTAATTAACCAAAAAATAATTAGAACTCAAAAGGGGAGAAGGTAGTAAGAAATCCTCCAACTCTTCAAAATTATAAGAATATTGGAGGATACATAAAGGTTTGCAAAAGCAGCCCCACGGCCCTCCACAATGACCAGCTCTTTAAAAACTAGTGACTGGGATGTGATCATTTTGGCTAAGTCTTTTTATTTGGCCAAATTCCCCTGAATTGTAAGCTGTCCTCATGACCAGTCCTCCTCAGGCCTTTCAGCGCGTGAATCTCCTTGTTGAGAACTTCTGGATCTTACTCTAAGGTCAATCCTAGGATGCATTTTCTGGAAGTTTCTCTACAAATTGATCTCTGTTTCTCAGGATCCTGGAGCCTGATAACTCCTTGGCTGGCTAGGGCAGTGCTACTCTAGGTGTGGTCCCTGGGCAGGCACTGGTCTGTGACCCGGTGAGCCCAACAAGTGAGAGTGAGCGTTAGACACCTGTAGTGCAATGTGACATTGCCACACAGCCAAGTGTATGGTCATATATATTTCTAGCAGTTCACTTGTATTATGTCCAGAAATACCAGGTCCCAGTAGATTAGAGATTTTTTTTTTTTTTAAAACCTGGTCATTTACCACTGATAGTTTGAGGAGCAGTGAGTTAGCACAGGTCTGTCTGGTCATGTCCTCAATCTTCTACAGCCAACAAGGTATCCTGTCAACAAGAAACAGAAAAGAACCCGTGATCCCCAGGGCAATATTTGCCTCCACGCCTGTCTTGGGGGGTAAGGTTCAGGGGGCTCCCCTCGCCTCTTGAGATGACTTCTCCGTCACCTATCTCCTTGTGACCTCTCCAGAAAGTCCAGTCCACTTCTTGGTATTGGCCAGTGGTGACTCTGGGTTGGAGACCCAGTACTGCTTTCCTGAAAAGTGCTTTCCTTATTCTTGGGAAAGCCTCTGAAACGGGCTGGCGCTGTGATCGCAAGTGGAAGAAAGAAGCCTTTTCGGCCCAAACCGAAAGACCAGGTTTTGTCTTTATCCTGGATCGCCTTGCCAGGATGGTGCCCTGTCCTGGTAGAAGAACCGAGCAGGCCCATGATGACACAGATGTGTTTGGCGACACCCACCAGCAACCCTACTGCCCTGGGCAGGCTTCCATAATTGCTCCCTAAGTCAGGATTGCACAAAAGTTCAGCAGCACAAAGTGCCTATTAGCTAAGTGGTTAATAAGGTCCCATTAGAGACTTGTATTTAAGCCTCGGAAAGTGCACTCTCAGTCTCTGCTAACTCAAGGGAGGCAATAATTGCACATGGGTATCACGGCCTCACCGTGGAGTCTTTCTGGGAGAGTGCTTCAGAGCCAGTTCACACACTGGGCCACTGGAGAGATTCCCACAAGGGCAGTGTGGGCAGGCTGGTAAATCTGACCTCCTCTGTCTTCCCTCCCCTCTTCGTTTTGATATAAACCCAAGAAGTCATTGGTCGTCTATAGCTTTTGTCCGAGTGGCCTGTGTTGGGAGTTCCCAGTGAGGGATGGAACAACAGACATTCAACGGCCTGTTGTCCTGAGCCAGTGCACCTGAAGCTTTCTTGGAAACAAGAGCCAAGTTCCTTGGCATTTGCGAAATCCTGGAAATGGCAGAAAGTGTGCTTGGAAGCAGAATCCTGATCTCTCCCGGGCTGGGCCAGCTTGGCGGGGGGGGGGGGGGGGGGGGGGGGGGGGGGGGGGGGGGGGGGGGGTTGGGGGGTGAAATGGTAGGTGGCCTGGAAGCTGCTGCTACTGGGAAGGAACAGGCTTTGTAAAGCCTGGAAGGGCCCCGTCTGTCTGAGGAGTGAGGTCAGACACCCTACCTCGCAGGCCCACGGCCATATTCCCTACAACCCCGAGACCCCACAACGTGTCGGAGCGACTGTTCCAAAGTGGCTGTCAGTGTTAGGGCTTCCTTGATGCGAAAGGGAGCAGGCGCCCCCAGAGTGTCATCACCCTCCTCCGCCTGCTCGGCACCCTTCCCTCTTCTTCCTCGTGTAGAGGCTGTGCTCTTGCAGGAGTCCGATGAGTGGGCCAAAGGCTCTGAGGATGAGCTCTGTTACCTGGACGCGGGGAACTGCTGCCATTCGCCCATTTGCTTTGTTTTTCCCGGAATTTCCTGCCTCACATCTGAGGCTTGCATAGCAGATTGGATGTGGCCTCCCAGGGGTGGTCCTGGGTTTGGACTGAGGGCATTCCTTCAGCGGCACATGTATTATTATTGTTGCAATGACTGTCAACCTGTACCACTCGCAGAAGCTGGAGGCAGAGGCTGGGGAGGGTCTGGAGCCTGCTTCCCTCCGGAATCCTGGGATCGCAAACAGTGTTTACAGAACCCCTTGGTGTTTGCCTCCCTGAAGAGGAGACTGTGGTCTTCCCAGGGTGACCTTTGATAGCCGATGGGAAAGGGGGAGCGGGCTGGGATTTACTGGAGGGTGTCTGTGCGATTATGCCCCGTCTGCGCGGGCTGTCCGCCCCACCCCTGCCCAGCTCCAAGACACATCGATGGGGGCCCAGGCCTTCACGGGTGGGCGTGGCCATCTTGCCACCCAGAGCACAGGTACCCAAGCCCTGCCAGGCAGTGATGCCAGGGCCCCCATGGAGCTGCTTGCTAGCACCTGCCTGGGGCCTCTGGGCCCTGCTGTCTGGAGCCCACAGTCCAGTACCCATCTTAATGCCTCCTCACTCCTGTTTGTCACTGCTCTGCAGGCCTAGGGAGACTCGGGTCAGACGCCATCATTGTTCCCTAGGGATGTGGAGGCTGCAGGGCAGGCTGGGCCCGGGAAGCAGGGAAGGAGGAGTCTGACTCATCTAGCTCATCCTGGCTCAGCCCTAAAAGCACCAGGCACTTGGACACGCATTCTCTCCCTCAGTTCTTACCTGACGTCCCTGAGGCAGACACCATGTCCCCCATTTTACTAAATAAAGAAACTGAGCTCAGAAGTTGAGACTTTGGTGCCCAGTCTCAGAACTGGCTCATGGTGGAGTTGGGGACTTCACGCTTCCTCTCGGTGTGGTCTGTCCAAAGAGGGATGGTCTCTGGGGAAGGGCGGCTGCCGTCCCGCTCTCTGTCTGAGGTCGTGGTTCCTTAGTGCGTGAGGGCACCAGGCTAGCGGTCAGGAGACCTGGGAAGAGTTCTGAATCCGGCATGTATTTGCTCTGTGACCTGGGATAGACACCCCCCCCCCCCCCCCCCCCCCCCCCCCCCGCCGCCCAGGTATTCATTTACCCCATCTGGGAACGAAGAAGCCTGATGAATCCTGAAGGCCTTGTACCTCTGCATGGAGGTAGTGCCATGAGGCACCCGGCTCCCCTGGGCCACGGGGCTCCACTTCTGTGCTTCTCTCCATCTCCAGAGTGCCCGCTGCCCCCTCTAGGCAGCTGGTTTCGCCTCTCCTGGGATGTTGGGTGCTGTTTGCATGCGGGTGTGGAGCCCTGTCCCACATCCAGCCTGTTCGTGCTTTCCTTCTCAGTGCTAACTGGCCTCTACCTTTGTCTCTGTCTCCTCTACCTCTGCTCTTGGGTAGCTGACGGTAGGGAAAGTGTCCAGCGGAATAGGGGCTGCAGCTGAAGTCCTGATCAATCTGTACATGAATGATCACAGACCTAAGACCCAGGCCACCTCTCCAGACCTGGTAAGGATGCGCACCCCTCAGCCTTCACCCGCAGACACCAGCTCTGACCTCCCAGAGAGGATGGCCTGGCCCACCCACTGAGGCCTCCTTCTTGTGGACAGGAGGTCCGGCAATGGGCTGGATCGGAGCCAAGGTTAGAGGGGGCTGCGTTTTCTGACAGACAGACCTCACTCGGCTCCCCAAGGCGTCATTGCACAAGGCCGAGCTTCTCCCCTGCCGTCCAGGGCTCTGGAGAGCTCCGTGAAAAGGCCAGGCAGGCCAGCCGTGTAGCCAGGCACCCCTTACCATCAGTGTTTGGCATCCAGTCTGAGTAGTCCTTTTGCACTGGACTGAGCATCCAGTAATGGAAAAACCCTCTTCCCTTTGAATTCTCCCTTCTCCAAACAAGGCTGCCTGCCGCCATCACCAGCCATTGGACCGGACAGTTCTGATTTCCTTTGGGTGCATCGCCCTGGAATCCAGACCCCCCCAGGGGCACCACTGTTTGGCCTGCCTCCTCCTCCCTTGAATTTAGGGATTTAACTGGCAGCCTAGGAGCTAAAGAACACAGCCTCTCCCTTCCCTGAGAACAGTTCTGACGCCACAGACTTTCCTTGCCTGACCTAAGTCACTGCAGGAGGACAAGAATGTGGAAAACATTCCTTCAGGGACCTCTCTCCAGACCCGGGCAGCCCTTAACCCCCAGGACAGATTCCTGGAGACCGCATCACCGGGCAGGCATGTTTGTGAGCGATGGCTGCTCCCGCCCCAAAACCAGAGCAGCCAACCTTGGGAGGAGCCCCTCCTGGGCCCCCCGTGTTGCCGGCTGGCCGGCCTGGGAGCAGAACTGACAACAGCCCCTGGAGTCGAGCTCCATGTTGGGAGCACTTCTTCCCCCACCTCACCCTTTGCTACAGAAACATGAGCCGCAGACAGGAGCCCATGAGGTCCCCGCGGTTGAGGTCGGCCTTTCCAAGAACCTCGGCCTCACGTTGCAAGACGTGGTGCCAGTTCTAACGCACAGCGCTTCTCCCCCGCTGCCCTGTGACCCCAGGAATCGATGCGGAAGGCGTTTCCCCTGAACCTGGGTGGCAGCGACACCTGTTACTTCTGTAAGAAGCGCGTGTATGTGATGGAGCGGCTGAGCGCAGAGGGCCACTTCTTCCACCGTGAGTGTTTCCGCTGCAGCGTCTGTGCTTCTACCCTGCGCCTGGCTGCCTACGCCTTCGACAGCGATGAAGGTAACTCCCAGGGGCCAGGGATGGCACTGCCCTACGACCTGGGCTGCTGTGCTCTGGGGACCCCGGGACGCCCAGCACGTGTCAGGGAATGGGGTGTCCTCAGGAGCGCTGTTGAGAGAGCTGTGAGATCCCGCCTGCTAGAGAGACAAGTCCCCTATGAGCAGGCTGGGGAGGCCCTGAGCACCTGTCACGTACCAGCCCCAGGTGGCACCCACTGGGTGCCCAGTGCTTTACATACACGTTCCCAGCTAATCTCACTGCCTTCCATTGCCCCGTGTGGTTGAGAAAATCAAACCTGGTAACCTAGTAACGTGCTCAGCACTGCACCTGGCTTGTGGCAAGGGTCCAATAAATGATGGCATATTAATGCTGTGATTTATATAGTATGTATTACAGAAGTAATCTTAATAGCAACTCCCTTCTGCAAAGGCACCTGCCAGAATACCATTTACTAGCCGTATAACCTTGGAATTTAGAAATCCGGTTGCCTCTGGGTCCCTCAGTCACTTCATCCATAAAATGAGGATAATAATAGTTCTTAGCTTATAAGGTTGCAAGGTGGTTCACATGAGTTCATTCATGGGAAGCGTTCAGAATAGTGTCTGATATATTCAGAGTCCTGGGGAAGTTTTCCCTGTTGTTACCATCATTACTGTCCCTATTACTATGGCAAACAAAGCAGCTTTTCTGGAAGGTGCCCAATGGTCCTGGGCTGTGGCCAGTGACCCAGTATGCCTCACCTGGGTCTTTTCCTCCCCATCACTGCCGCCATCTGCTCCAAGCCATTCCCACCCCCAGGGGTCCCAGGAAGGACCAGGAACTGGAAACAGTACCGATATTCAAAGCTGTCCATTTTGGAGTCTTGCAACCAGCCGTGGGAGAGGACTTGGCCTCAGTTTGGTCTGGAAGTATCTGAGGGTTGTAGCCGCCTCCCCAGCATCCCCGCACCCCTCCTCCCATGGCTACAGCCTGCCTCCGAGGCCGCACAGGGTCCTGTATCCTCATCTTAGTGCTGCTGCTTTAAGACAAGTGACAGAAACCATTTCCCAAGTTTAAGGTTCCCTGGGCTTGCTCCCATTATTGGTGTTTTCTGACCTTGGCTCATATCTGCCGCAGCTCTCATTTACAGGAGAACACCTGTGTGTGCGTGTGTGTGCTTCTTTGACAGGCAAGTTTTTCTGCAAGCCTCATTTCATTCACTGTAAAACCAGCACCCAGCAAAGGAAGAGACGGGCAGAGCTGAAGCAACAAAGACAGGTATGTTTTGTCCTGACAGCGCTGGTGAAACAGGACAGGCCCCTGGACAGGAGCTCATTCACAAGGATTCTTCCAAGTTAGGCCAGTGTTTCTGGCTTTGGAGGAATTGAGACCCACAGGGAAACACGAGAGTCTTGCTGTGCGGTGCGGAGGGTCCCTCTGTCTTTAGCCTGTCAATAGGCCTCTGGGTTTACCCCATTCTAGAGGCCAGCTCCCAGGTGAGCGGTGGTGCCAGCTTCTTCTGAGAAAATTGGAAGAGCTTTCCCAGGTACCGGGCTGGGACTATTTGCCCAGCCATGAGAAGACTCCAGGATCCCCCCAACCTCCACCTGGGTCCCTCGGGACCTCAGAGTGTTATATGCAGGGATACCTACCTTTCCCAAGTTTCTTCCCTAGGCTCTTGGATGTTCGCAAAATGATAGCCTGCTACGTGTTTGGACAGTTTGTGATAGCGCCCCCTCTGGCAGCTCTTAGCAAATACCTTCTCTACTGCCTGATTCACCACCCACCCCCTCCAGGACCCACACCTTACAGCCTTGTTCCGGTTACATAAGTAATGTAGGCTCGGTGTAGAAAAATGGGGAAATAAATGAAAGTATGTAGAAAAGGAAAATTAAATCATCCATCACCACCTTATCCTGAGAAACCCATAACTAACATTTTGTGACGTTTCCTTCCAGACTTTTCCCTCTGTGAATGTATTTTAACCTAGCTGGAATTCTATCACTGTACTTTTACGTCCTTCTATCTATATACTAGCAGTATATTGAGAGTCATTCCCCAAACACAACATTTTTCTGAAGCCTCATTCTGGATGCCTGTAAAAGATGGTTGATAATTTATTTAACAAGTCCCCTGTCATTGGAGGTTTATCCTCTGTCATATTTTTACCTTATAAATATTTTTACAACAAGCATCTTTGTATGCATGTCTTTGTCCCTATTTCAAATCATTTACTTACAACAGATCATGACAAATAGGATTTGTGAGTCAAAGGATATGTGTGCATTTTTTTTAACATTTATTTTTGAGAGAGAAACCGAGTACGAGTGGGGAGGGCTAGAGAGAGAGGGAGACACAGAAGCAGGCTCCAGGCTCTGAGCTGTCAGCACAGAGCCTGATGTGGGGCTTGAACTCACAAGCTGTGAGATCATGACCTGAGCCAAAGTCAGATGCTTAACCGACTGAACCACCCAGGCGCTCCAACATTTTTTTTTTTTTTTTTTTAAAGAACATGTGTTTTAAGGCACCTGGGTGGGTGGCTCAGTCAGTTAAGCGACTGACTCTTGATTTCAACTCAGGTCATGATTTCATGGTTCGTGAGATGGAGCCCCAAGTCTGGCTCTGCGCTGACAGTGCAGATTCTGCTTGGGATTCTCTCCTCCCTCTCTTTTTGCCCTTCCCTCGCTTGATCTCTCTCTCTCTCTCTCTCTCTCTCAAAATAAATAAACTTTTCAAAAATAAAGGAAGGACATGTGTGTTTTGAAGGACTGTGAACCCCTTGGTGCCCTCGGGCCCAGGAAAGCAGTGCCCAGATGCAGCCCCCCCCCCCCCCCGCAGTGCGTAGGGGCTGAGGTTATTTGAGGAAGGGGGGATGCTGGTTGCCAAATGCAGGGTCTGCCATCGTCAGTTTGTGTTGGCTCTCTCCGTCTGCTTCATGGGAGGGATCCTCGGTGAGAATGAAGGACTGAATGCCTTCCCTTTGCTCCCTCTCTCAGGAGGAGGGAACGTGGAAAGAGCAAGAGGCCCCTCGGCGGGACACTCCCGTGGAAAGTTCTTGCGCGGCAGCGGCCATTGGCACGCCTGAAGGCAGCCCTCCAGGTATCACCAATTCCTTCTTTAGGAAGGCGCTAAGCTGGCCCCTCAGGCTGCCGTGGGGCCTGCTTCACATTCCCCAGAGGCTGGTTAACTGGATTCGGGGACTCCTGCGTGCGGCCGGCCTTCATTTCAGGGACAATGCGTACAACTACTGCTACACTTATGAGCTCCTGAGCGTCGGGCTGCCGCTCCTCTGGGTGCTCTCCGAGGTCCTGGCTTCCATGTACCGGGAGTCTGAGGAGTCCCTGGAGACCATCCGCACCTGGGTGCTCAGATGCCTCCCGGTCAAGCTCCACTGAAATGCCAACCACCCCCGAAGTGCCCCCAACATGTCCACCTTAGGCGGCAGTGTGTCTGCAGTTAGCAAGGCTCTGGCCAGGAAGCCTAGCGTTCCTTAATAACCAGTTCACTCACAGCCAAAGGGTTTCCCGCCGGCCACCTGCGCCTGACTCTGTCCAGGCGAGCATCTGCTCCTTGGCGCTGGGGCCAGCACGACATGAAGGATGTTTTTTATAGCTTTGTACTTATTTTATACCAAAGCGAGCCATATTTCTAGGTTTACATTTCAATTTTTAACTTTTAATAAGCCAAGAGAAAGCATTTTTTTCTACGAGTGTCAAGTTTTCTAACCACGGTTTGAAGTTTTTAGCTGGTGTTATGAAACCTTTTCTACCTTGCAGTCAACTGTTGTAGTCACTGCCTGCAGCATTAACAATTTGGGCTTGTATGGACGCAGAAGTGAGTATGCTGCCTCCTGGCCAGTGCTTTTAGATGTACGTCCCCTAATGCCACTTAGCAACAGGGGACAGTGTTTTGCAACATGAAAGCATAATCAGTTTAGAAGAAAGGAGTAGATCGGAGTGGAATTGAGCCTGCAGCCTACAAAAGCACATGGCAGTATGTTGTTGGCTGTTATCTGTCCTCCCAGAGGGAGAGAAAGTGGTTTCTTGCTCCCTTGTTTTGATGTACAATAGTAGCTGAAGGGTTTTTCCCTTCCTACCAAATCACAGGCAAATGCTCTAGAGCCCTGGGGTTCCAAGCAGATGGCGACAAACTTCCATCGTCCCTTCCCCCTTGCGAGCACTGCATGGAAGCCCCTTGGCCCCCTCACCTTGGAGAGCTCCATCAAGCTGGTGCAGTGCCGAAAAGGAGCTGTGTCAGCTGGTGGCATTGATGCCTGGGGTCATGACCCCTGGGACTCCCTATCAGGTCCTCAGCCCAGGCTGCTGACTGAGCCAAGGCCACTCAGGGTCCATGATGGTCAGGCCGAGAGATGAATCTGCCCTCTCCTATCAGGTCCTTTGGGACTGAGGGCATTTGTTAGCACCTCAGGGTATTACTTCTGGGACACATGACCTGCCCCGTGAGCGTGACTTACAGACATCCTGGATGTTTAGCCTTTTGGCCGCAGTGCCTATTTGGTCAAAACAGCCAGAAACATTTGTGTCCACACTGTCCTAGCATAGGGATGTGTCTGACCTCCTGTACCTTGACTGGCAGGGAGGCTGGGAGTGGAAGCTGTTTGTTGACTGATACAAAGGAGATCAGCCCTATTAAGGGCAAAAACAGGCATTGAGCCTACCTGTGGTCTTCTCTCTGGGCTTCTGGAGAAGGTCCCCATTCCCCCCACTCCATTCTACCTGGACATGACTGCCGTGGGGTCTAGCTGAACAATGGAGGGCTGCTGGGGAGAAGCCTACCAGTGTGCTCAGAATATGTAGATTTGCCAGGCCAGAGGTGGCTCTGTGCCCTTGTCACACTACAGATCTCCTCTCGATGAAGTCAGGATGGAACCTATCGTGGGTTAGGAGACAGGGCTCTTGGGTGCTTTGAGATGACAGGTTTCTATATGGCAGGAAGAAGGGGAGAGGCATTTCTACAAACACTTCCTTGAAGTCGTTGGAGAAAACAGGGGCACAGCTGCGGCCAAGTCCCTGGGCACTGGCACCTCTGTCCTTGTGGGAAATGTTCTCAGTCTGATGACTTGTGTTTTTCCAAATTTCTGCTGGGATTTTAATAGCGTGGTGGGAGGAACTTATGCTTCATTCTTTGTTTGATACTAAAAGGAAATTCTTGAGGTCGTGGTGTGAACACATGCACAGCCATGTCATTGCTATGGTCTCTGGCTCCGGGTGGGCTGAGATGCTTTGTGGAATGCTCCATGAAGCCAGAGTTAGCATCTCTGAGAATGTCATTTACAGCCATAAAGGGACTGGTTTGAATTATTCTGGTGAGACAGGGTGTGCCTGTCAGAAGCCCGAGATGTTTGTATGTTCTGAGGCTCTGAACCTTCCTGGTGGGCGGCACTGAGACCCATGGTGGATCCCAGGAGGCGCATGCCTCTTGGCCTCCACAGCGTATTCGAGAATGAGTGTGACACACTGGGGTAAAATTGGGGCAAATTGATATGGGGGACACGGGGGTCCTGAGGATGTGCGTAGCCTCGAGTGGAAAGCTCAGGGGCAAGCTACACAGATCCTCTCTGGCAGAGAAAGAGGTAGTCCCTACCAGAAAGGTTCATCTTTCCTAAGCAAGCAACGATTTGTTTGGGGAAGTCGCCCTTTTATTAGTGGTTGCCTCGTCTTCAACTCCTGTGCCTTTCATGTTATCAGCCTTCTTCCTTTGTCCTCCAGACTAAATTCTCTTTTCTGTCTCTCTCTTTCCAACCTTACACTGTGGCCGTCAGTTCGTTTCAGCCTTCCAGTGCTACACCCACTTCTTGGCTGACACACTTCTGCTCTGAGGTGACTTGTTTTCTTGCCGATTTTCAGAGAGTGGTACTAATGCCTGACCCGCTTTCCACGCCCCGTCCTCCCCTCCGTGGTCCTGGTCGCGCTAACTGTGAACGTCTTGCATACTAATGGACTCATTCCATGGCATGGTGGGGTAACAGCATGGGGTGGTGCTCCGCTCGGAAGCCATTTTTCATTCTATTCACCTCTGAGCCGGCTGCCCGGTCTATACCAGGTGCAAACCCTGCCTCCCTCTGGCTCCCTGTGCGGCCTGCAGGCGTGTCTTTCCCATTGTGAAGCCACTTACCTTCCTGGGACAGTGAGCCCAACTGTGACACCATGCAGCAGAGAGGGCTCTTCACCTTTGAAAAGAACTCTCCTATCTAGCAGTCTCTGAAAAAATACATGCATACGAGCGTCTTAAACTGATTCTAGTATAAAGAGTATTGATCAAAACCACAGGTAACTCTTCTTGGAAGGATTTAGAAAAAAAAAAAGAAAAAAAGCTCCCAGGCTTCATCACAAGCTTTCCTAGCCAATCCTGTCCCTGCTGCAGCCTACGCTTTAGACACAAGGGCTTTGCGGCGGCTTCTCAGTAAGAGGAGCTTACTTTTACTCAGTCCTTGGCTCCTAAAGCTGCAGATGATGCAGAAGCTTCGATTAGAGCAGTCATTGTCGCAGGCCAGGGGTGGCTTTGAGAAATGACCCCGTTCAGCCGCAGTCTGACGCAGCCCATATCAGTGCACCCATGGCACATTTTCCCTGCCGGCTCGGAGCGCTTTTAAAGAGAAACACCGTGCCAAGTACGGTGGAGCTGTTGTTGGCCAGACCTCCGGGTCTCAGGCTGCAGGTGGTGTCTGTCCTGCACGCAGCCCCCGGCCATGCTGAACTCCCGGCCTGTCTGCACAGCCCCGCATGCCACGTTGCTCACTGCCTTGCTGCAGACTGCAGCCAGTATGAAGTCATTGCTCTTGTCTTGTCTTCTCTTGCAGAGTCTCCCTCCCTTTATAAAATGTCAACCACAGAGGGCCCTCCTTCCCTCTCAGTCTTCTCTTTAGCTAGCCTCCCCCCCCCCATCTCATCGCAACGCATGTTTGTGACCTTTGGTAGTCATTTACAGTGCCCCACGGAACCCTGTATTTTGCACACAGCAAACATTGTTTAGCTTTATTTATGGTATTTGTTGCTGTACATGAAAATAAATATGGTTCTTTATAAAGCTCATTGTTTCCTCTCTTCTTTGCCATGGAAGGCTGCTCCCGCCTCAAACACAGGGGCTGGTTTAGGGGGATCCGTTCCCTAAACCGCTGGCGGGACCTGCATTTGTGGTGACGGGGGACTGTCTGGGGCTGCGCTGGGCCTGCTCAAAGGAAATATTACCCAGGGGTAATATTTGGAACATGTCACCAGTGCTCCTGGGCCAGGCTTTGGGGTCTCTTTTCTTGAAAACTGATGGGACTTTTCTGTGCAGATGCTGGGCACAGCTGGGTGAGGGTCCGTGTCATGCCAGCTGTTAGAAACAGACTGTCTTGACAGCTCTTTGCACCTCTGTCCCCCCATCCAAACCATGCACCTGTAGGAGAGCTTTCCTTAGGAACCTTTCTGTAACTGAGGCTCCTGTGGAACAAAGGTCACTCTTGCAAGTCTTACGCTGGTCCAGCTGAACGAGAGGTGAAAGGTAAGAAGGAAGGACCAGACATCTGGTTCAGAGCAGCAGAGAACATGGCAGGGGTGCTTGTCCAGATAGAGATCCATCCGTGATCCCGAGAGACCTCCCCTGCCCCCAAAGGCTCAGTTCACTCAGTGTCTTAGGCTGCAAAGCTCTCCCTGCAGAACATTCCGAGGACAGAACCCACGGCAGGCTCTGACCCGAGTCCAGGCTGGCCTCCCCTTCAGGATTCAGAGTCTCACTTGGCTAGTCTGGATAGCACCAGGCAAGTCTGGTTCTCAACCTCCCGAGGTTGGGATGCCTGCCATCGCCATCTCCATCGCCCGTCTGGATGTAGCTGGGCTTCTGACGCTGGTATGAGCCTCCACCAAAGGGGTGTTTCTGGGGCCCTGGGCCTTTCAGCTCAGCTGCTGACCCCCAGAACTGATTTCTGAGCTGCCTGGGGTCATGTACTCTTACCCAGATGAGATAACTCTTTCTCTTCCATGAAAGGAAGGGTATCAGAGACTCAAGTCACCAGCTAGGTTGGGCAAGTGACTCATTCCTTTATGTATTCATCTATTCAAGTATTTGTTGAATGCACACCATACCCTGGACACACTCTGGGTCCTGGGGACGCAGCAGTGAACCACACAAAGTCACTGCCCCTCCCTGTCTCTTGGATCATAGGGATCTTGGTCTCGTGTACTAGATCTGATTGGTTTTATTTGTATGTACACACATTTGTTTACTTTAATATTTACTGAGCATCTGCTGTGCTGCGAATATTGCAGGGGGTTAAGTAGACAAAAGTCCTCACTCTCGTGGAACTTAGAGTTTTGTTTTGATTTTTTTAAATTTAAAGTAAGGTTAAAGCAACAGTTTCCAAAGTGTGGCAATGGAACACTAGCTCCAAGAGGGGCTTTGTGGATCAGGAGCTCCATAGTCCCACAGTTTGAGACATGGTTTATACTAGTCACGCTGATCCTCCCAAACCTCAGAGATCCTTGAGACTTAGTAGCCTGATAAAGTCTCTGAGGGGTCCTCAGTAAAGAAGCTTAATTACCTTTGTTGAAGTGGGCTTTCTCCTGCGTATTTGAAATGAGTTTTTGTTTGTGTGGGGTAGGTTTTTTGTTTAGCATGTTACATTCTACATATGTATTAGGTAGAATATTCTTAATCCAGAAACACTGGATTAAGTAAAAGAATTAAATATTAGTGTCAAGAATTGATTAGGTCATATAGTGGTAATTTTCTAAGCTTTATTTATTTTTTTTTTAATATTTTGTTTGTTTATTTTTGAGAGAGAGATAGAGTACTAGCAGAGGAGAGTCAGAGAGAGAGGGAGACACAGGCTCTGTGCTGACAGCACAGAGCCTGATGTGGGGCTCAAACCCACAAACTGGGAGATCATGACCTGAGCTGAAGTTGGATGCTTTAACCAACTGAGCCACCCAGGCGCCCCTACTTTCTAAGCTTTAAAACCTTGGAGACATGACACAAATTTGACTATAAACATTTTAAAAGCTTAACAGTAAAAATGAAGATATTCAATAGGTAGTCAGACTGAGGGAAAAATGTGAATTAGGTGCGATAACGAAGAAGTTCATTGCTGTGGCATTTAAAAAGTACGTGCAAAGGAGGTTCCTTGCACAGTGTATGTGATCAGTTAATACTTGCTGATAAAAGACCCAATGATAAATGGGCAAAGGCTATGAATAGGCAGTTCTCAAGCAAATTTAAAAGGTAAATGCTAAAAATGAAAGAGCAAGCATTTATAAAAATTACATTCAAAGGAAAGAAAAGTATACCCACTGAATTACTAAAGAAGACAGTGATGTAGATGGTAAGAAAAAAATAGTCGTGGGTAAAAAGTAAATGGGGACAGTCTTTTCTAGAAAGCAATATGGCAACAATTATTAAGATCCATAAAAAAGGGGCGCCTGGGTGGCTCAGTTGGGTAAGAGTTCGACTTTGGCTCAGGTCATGATCTTGTGGTTCGTGGGTTCAAGCCCCGCATCGGGCTCTGTGCTGACAGCTAGCTCAGAGCCTGGAGCCTGTTTCAGATTCTGTGTGTCCCTGTCTCTCTGACCCTCCCCCACTCATGTTCTGTCTCTCTCTGTCTCAAAAATAAATAAACTATTTTAAAATAAAAAGACCCATAAAAGAACTCTGACCTTTTGGCATAGTAATCCTGCCCCAGGGAATTGATCCTAAAGGAATAATCCAGCCAAAGAAACAAATCTCCCTGCAACCTGAATATTAAGTAGAGTAAGTGGGTCAGGCAGAGTGGGTGGGCTCTTCTCCTTTATTTCTGTGAACTCATTCACTTTTATAGCTTTTTCTCTAATCCCTTAAATAAGTAAAGAAGTGACTGCTGCTTTTACTGCTCTGGGGCCAGCTGTTACTGATGGAGCGTTTCCTCCCTGCTGGGCGTGGGGCCAAGCACTGCCTGCACAGTACCTCGTTAGCTCTTCACCTCCTCGTGGCCACCTTGAAGTTTACCTTGACATTAAACGAGCTCTCTGATACTAGGCAGGTGATCTAAAGCAACATCTTCAACTGCAAAGGAACAGTGAGAGCCACCAGGCCCAGGCCAGGAATAGATGTTGTTCTCGGGGGAGCCTTGGCATTTGGGAAGATCCTGGAGTTGGCCAAAGGCTCAGCTTTGACTCCAGCACCTTGTGTGGACTAGTGGTATCGGGCAAGCCCCTTTTGTGAGCTGAAGCCTCTGGTTTAGGGTTTTGTGGTGGTAGAATCAGTGAACATGCCCAGTAGGGTTCTCAGCGCAGCAAGAACTCTCTTGGTGAGCTCTGGATAGCACCTTCCTGATTTTGTGCAGCAGGGAAGGCCTGAGGGAGACTTTTGTGAGCATTCTAGATCAGCTGGAGCTCAGAGTGTGTTGGACAGGGCATCTTTAGGCTGGGAGACTAAACAGAGGTCTCAATTCACATAGGCAGCACCATCTGTTTTTCTCTGGTGTTCTCCCAGCCTTCTGATCTCCCAGGCAACTGGTCACCTCTCTTCAGACAACCCAGTCTCGGCTCTGGAGCCCCCTCCTTTCCCCTGCCACCTGCCAGCAGGGCTGTGGTTTTGTTTAGTGAATTCCTGAGTCTCCGCGAAAAGAGAACCGGGCTCTAGCCCTGGCTCTGGCTGCCTACTTGACATCTCCACTTGGATTCTACCAAGAGTCTCCAACCTGGATATCCACCTCCTGCTCATAATCTTCCCCTGAACAGACTTTACCCTTGGCCTTCAGTCTCTGGGAACAGCAACCCTATCTTTCCCATTGCTCAGCCCAGAAGCTTGGACTCATTCTTGACGACTCTTTCACTTGGCCTCACAGCCAGAACCTGTGCTCTTGTAGCGTCCCCAGGCCTCCACCCCAGCCTCAGCCACTGTTCTCTCTTCTGGAGTTATTGCAGGGGCTTCCGACGCAGCCTCCTGGGCTCTTCCTTGCTCTCTGCTCAACCTATTTCCAACACAACGGCTAGAGTTATCCTTCCAGAGCTTAGATCTGTCCGCTGCTCAGAACTTTCCAGTGGCTTTCCAGCTCACTCAGAGAGCAAAAGCCAGTACGTATAATGGACTCAGACAGCTCTGGATGGTCTGGCCCCTGTTATTCTGACCTACTCTCCCCCTGCTCTCTCTCGTATACTGCGTCCCAGACACACTGGGCCTCCTTGAACACCAGGCATGTTCTGTCTTAGAGCATTTGCACTGGCTGTTCCCTCTGCCAAGAACACCCTTCTTTAGTATCTGGGCAGCTGACCCCACCCTTCATTTAGCTCTTTGTTCCCTTGTCTCTACCCAGGAAGGTCTCCCATTAACACTGTGATCCATACCCCCGGCTGTCCCAATACCCCTTATCCTACTTACTAGACAGGTGTTCATAGCAATTATCACCTCTGACCGTATTATGTAATTTGCTTACAGATTATGGTTATTGCTTATGTATCCCCCCACCTTGCCTGAACATAAAGTCCTCGAGGGCAGAGATCTCTGTTTCTTTCAGACACTCCTATAATTCCCACTGGTAGAACAGTGCTTGACACATAGTGGACCCTCAGCAAGTATTTGTAGAACGAGTAAAAGGCCCTGCCTTCTGGGCTGGACGTCAGACTGCAGAGCCTACTGCTGTCTTGGGCTTGAGAAGGTCTTGCTGGCATTGGTTCGTGGCTCAGAAAGGAGCACCTGGAAGAGACGTATGACATTGCGTGTTCTGCTGCATCAGAGACGCAGAGCTCTTTGATTGATTGGGAGAGGAGAGTTTCGATTGGGCTTGCAGTTTTGCCTTGCAGGGGGTGTGATCTTCACACAGCATCTCTTGCACAACTCGGTGACTGGTGGGACCAAGCGTGAGCTTGGCAGCAGAGTGGGGATCCCCTTGTGTGTCAAGGCCTAGGCCACAGGGTCGCACACGTCCTCTCTCATGCCTGGTGTTCCGACACGGGAATCCAGGTGGCAGGTTTGAGATAAGAGGTGGGGTGGGGAAGGCTCCACCTCCGCGCTATGGCATGTGGTTTGCTCAACCTGCGTTTGACCTCCTGAGTCAGTCTTCCTGCAAGCGT